TGCACGATGTGAAATCTACTCAATTTCAAGCAATTTCTCTGGATTTGACCTTGGCTAGTTCGTCACGTCACCAAGACGCATCCTATTGCGTGGCCACTAGTTAATACCACAATTAGAACTACGTTAGTTTTGACCTTGAAGGGCTCATCACCCCTCAAGACGCCACCGAACTTCGTTCTTTCGAAGATGAGAGAAATTCACCATCAAACATCCCAGGAATACCACTCATTACCGAGGACACTTGTGACCATCGTCTAATTATGTCGATCTTTTGAGTAGTCTACGAAAACGTCTTGGAGGTGGTGGAAGAGATTGTGAACTATTGTTAGGATCTACTACGGTTTGAAAATTTGAAATTGGACTGAGAATTGGCATTTCTCGAGAAAATACTTCTTGATTATCATGTTCATGTGACTCACTGGTTCTAATTGGACTTAATTTAGGAATACTACTTCTATGATTACTGCGTCTATTTTTAGTTCTTAAATTATCATTACTAATTTGTACATCAGCAACATTATGACCATTTACATCATCATCATTATTATTGTGACCAAGATTATTAATATTACTTGGAGATGGTGAAGATGGGTCGACATTGGAGTGTTGAGTTGGGGTCGACGTAATTTGTGGTGGTTGTGTCAACTGTGGCGCTGTCTGAGACTGACGCGGATGGTATCGTCGTAAAAACTGATTGTGAAGTGGAGATTTAAATACGCCATCAGGAAATGTGACTTCATACGTCAGCTCACCGACAATTTTAGAAATGACTCCCACTCTTGGACGAAAGAGAGGGCACAAGCCAGCCGTTATCCCTTTGTCCTTGTCAGAGAGAGTGGTGTCTCGGATGACTACGTGGTCTCCAACTTGAAAATGGTCATCTCTATGGCGTTGGTCATAGTACTTCTTTTGTTTCTCTTTGGCTCGGGTCAGGTTCTGAGTGACAGGAGAGAGAATGTTAAGATACTGATTATGCCTGTCAAATATGATTGCTTGAAATGATTTTGGAATTGATTTCTTTAAAACTTTTAATTCTGAGTCAGTGAGGCCGACATTAATATCAAAAGGTAACTTTGGATCATTATTCAAAAGAATTGACGCAGGAGTAAAACCTGTTGACTCTTGAGTTGAAGTATTAATGGCTAATTGTAGAAAAGGAATCTGTTTTGACCATTTGTTATGAGCTTGGTCATCAAGATAAGCTCTAATCATAGTTTTCACAGTACGATTGGCTCTTTCTGTCAGGTTTGATTGTGGGTGATAAATACTGGTAAATTTTTGGGTAACCTTCCATTGATTACACAAAAATTTTAAAATTGTAAACGTAAAGTTGGTACCATTGTCACTCACAATCGTCTCTGGCATACCAAATCTACAAAATACCTGTTCTTCCAATATTTTACCAATTACCGCGGCGGAAGTGCTTCGCAGAGGAAACAATTCCACCCACTTACTGAACCCATCAATGATGACTAAAAGATGGGTAAATCCTCCTGGAGAAGACTTGATGTACGGACCCATGAGATCCATATACAGTGTTGCCCACGGTTTCTCGACTGGCGACGATTGCATCAAACCAGGAGGTTTCCGATTGTCGAATTTTACTCGTTGACAGTTGAGAATGGGTTGTCAAAATGTAAATTAAGTTGCGCCAAATTAACACATCGATTTCCAATATAATCTCACAGACGACCGGTTTCGCATTTTATTTTGCATCTTCAGGTCTACATAGAATAGAGATTAAGAAAAGATAGCTATAGCATTAGTACAAATTAAACAATTACTCTCTGATTTTAGTAATCGAGGGTATCCCTATAAATTACTGAATAACGTTTTTATAAAATTATGGAATGTAGATGCATTTTTACTACGTATACCAAAGTCTAAATCGATTGTAGATCACATCACATATAACAATTATAACTTGTCAAAACCAATTATTGATCACCTCATAAATAAGTCTAATTACAAACAAAATGAGATATTCATTACTGTTCCTTTCTATGATATCATTAATTACAAATCAATAATTATTGATTTTTTACATAGTGAAATTCATAAGTATGAAGTAGAAACCAAAACTAATTATAATATGAAGTTGATGTTAAGTTATTTTATCCCTCATTCATTGGAAAAATTTAATAACGAATTACACAAGTCTAAACCTTCATAGAGCAGTCATCGAGCCACGACTCGCAAGAAGATTTGCTTTTAAGTACGGGAGGGCTCTCCCTTCAATGAAGGTGACAATTTCTGCTTCTTTGTTATTTATTGTCATCCTGTATACTTTCCGGTACTGGAGGTCCATCTCGAAAGCGAATTTCTGGAATGGTTCGTTTTCATGCTGACGACACATTAGTAATTTTTCTAGTGCAGCATGAAGGTCCGAGTCAGAGGCATACATGGTGATGAAATGTGCCTTAAAATCATCCCATGTACGAGCAAAAAGCTTTGTTCGTTGCCACCATAATGATTGGTTGGGGTCTTGATTGAAGACCGCAGGCAGTGATAGGATCCAATCTTTCCGAAGAAAGCGCTTCCGTTCCATGTGATTCTCGAGTTCCATGATGAAATTCTCGGCTGAATCAATGTTCGGGTTAAATTTTGGTGGAGGGATATTGCCTACAGAATGAAATAGGACAGGTCCTGAGGATGAAGAACGAGTCTGCATGATTGCATCAGAAGGATTTATGGGGATTTCTTCCTCTTTCCGTTCCATTATTCTAAGGCGAGAAATGCACCACGCCGGAATCTCGTCCTCTTTGTTCTCACTTGGAGGGTTATTGACCTGTGGAGGAGAATGCGACAAGAATTGCGGTGGTGGAGGACAAGACAAGAATTGTGGTGGTGGAGGGACGCCACGAAGTTCAACGCAGGATGAGGGGTCATCTTGATTTGGTAGCGTGGGTATCATCTCCTTGGAAGGAGTTTGAACCCTTGAATTTGCATGGATGAACTCATTGATGATGCTGGACTGAGCTTGAATAGTTTGGTCTTGCTTATCTATGGTAGTTTGCATCCTCGTCAATTGTTCATGAATCCAAGTGACCTCGTCTTCAAATGATGACTTCATGTGGTTCTGGAAGTTTCCCATTTCCTTTTCCACAATAGCATAATTGCTTTTTATGCAGGATGCTAAATGGTTCCTGTACCTTCCTATTTGTTCACCGAGGTGCCTAATCTTTTCATCTACATATTCCTGGAAGGGCAGATTTGACTGTTGAGGGTACGGGTAGTCATAACCAATAAGGCCGGTAAGGATAGGATCAGGAGAAGGAGAATTATGCAAAGCTGCCTGTTGCGATACCAATTGTCCTACCGCTTCATGTCTATTTTCACAACGAATATCAAATTCAAGCAAAAGTTGCTTGACCCTAACTTCGAGGCTATTCACCCGACGCCACAACGAATCTGTATGCTCAATAAGTTGGGAATTATGATGATTACTGGTTGAAATGAAAATTTGAGCAATTTCAAAAGTTAACGAATCAAAAATGTTTCTAATTCTAACAAATTGATTATGATTCTTTTTCTGGATGGTAAACAAGGTCTCGATATCCCTATCCAAATTGCTCATTTGATGACCTAATTTTTTACGACGGCGACCCACATTCATGGATTCATATCGTGGAATCATCCAGGAAGGTAAGTGAGGTAAAATAGACTTTGTTACCAGTTTGTTGATGAAAATACCAATCAAGAGGAGGACCGCAGCAATTCCAAATACTTCCATCATGAAGAGAAATCCCCCATACCACCATGATGACGATACGAGGGGCGCTGTTGCCTCTGAGGTCACATTTCCCTTAAGGTTGGTCAGCCCGGTCATGTCGACGAAGCCGAAGAGTTGCGTCAGCATTCCCATGATGTCGGATGTCGTTGCACCATGCAGGAAGTGGAGGAATATGTAATTTAATACGTAAAACACACTTTCCACTGCCAACGACTCAAAACTGTTCACAAACTCACTGTTTTTGCCCTTCGCACTTTTTATCGCGAAGGATTTCCAAGTTTATTATTGCACTTTTTATTACAAAGGGTTTCGTAGCACCAATTTGTAACGCTCCCTATTCGATTATGGGATTGCGTGTCCTGATTCACATCCACTTTCGCGGATGCCCCTTTTCTTTGTGACGTTGTGCAAGAAATTTGTAATAGAAACTCACTTTTTTTTCAAGAATAATGAATAAATTTATTTACATCAATACCGACTGAAAAATATTGACTTTACAGAAATGCTCGTATTATTAATACGTGGGAGAGCTAATGCTATATTTATATTTTAACTAATTATCTAGACGGGAACTTATTATTAAGTTTTTGAAGATCTAAAAAAACCTTGAACTTGATCTTGATGATCACTAAACTAAACCTGCTGATCCTGAATCTAAAACTACACTCATCTCTTCTTCTCTCTGCTTACTCTATATATACGTGATCACATAAGCCACGCCTACTTGATCATTACCTTTACTTACGCTACATATGTATAAACTACGCCCTCATGATAATGATGATCATGATGACGTACATCATCATTCTCTGCTCCTCACTCCTATCTTCTCTTCCCCTTCATGATCTCCTCCTGCACACAATATGGTTTGGACACACATGAGAGGCGAGATACTTATGAAAACTACATCTATGTATTTTGAATCCCTTGACCTTTGAAATGCTGATGTCACATTTGCATCAGCATTCCAAAGGTTGCAGCATATGGTAAAAATTTCAAGTCAATCGGTCAACTCGTTCGAGAGTTATCGAAAGACAGACGGACAGACAGACAGACAGACAGACAGACAGACAGACGGACATGACAATTACATAAGCCCTGGTTCGGGCTAAAACGGAGACACTATCGAACACTTTTTTTCCATTGTACTACAAATTTGTTATGTATTGCTTGCATGTCTAGCAAAAATTAAAAAAGCACTATTACAGGGAAATTATCATTAGTTATTTCCAAAACTTAACCTTAATGCATGAAGTGTCACGCCTTCCTCAGAACTGTTTAATCATTCTTAAAATTATGGGAGGGAGGAAACCTAGTGGTGGTGAAAAAACATAAAAGTGGACGTAAGCAATTTGGTATTACTTAAATACACATACACATCTGCAATATTGAAGGAAATTTATACTGTGAAAAACGGGTAACAAATCGATTTTTATAATTAGATGTGAAAACGTAAAGTCCGAAAGGATGGTAGAAAATGTTCGTAATTTTCAAGCTGCATGTGGGACGTAGGAGATTTGCAATTTCACCTCCGACATTTTAACCGCTTGTAATTATGCTGCAGTACCAATTTTTAACAGATTTGTTAGTGCTTGATTAATTGATAATAAACGTATCTGAAACTTGAGACTCGTCTTTTACAAAAGATTGCACTTTGCTTTTATGACTAATACAGAGAAGTCGCAGAATGAATCATTTATAAGTAGTTTTAATGGGCAGTCGTCCAATATATGTACACATGTACATATGTACTTATGCATATACAGACAACTAAACTCAAGGTTAAACTTTATATGCAATTCTTATTACAGGAATTACGATATCATCTTAGGATTAGTCAGCTAGTCAACAAAACTTATATAAGAACATCTCTTGCCTTGACTCGTCGATTATAATATTTTTCTGGATTTACGTACAACAGCTTGTTCATAATCAAAAATGTTTTCGAAATCCAAGTTGTTCATTGCATTGGCCATTTATTGTGGTATTGGTCACATTTCTGCCTTAGAAGACGGAGATTTCTATAAAATTACTCTCTCAAGCAACGGAAAGGTACAAAAATACATGTTCCCATTTTTTTTACAAAATTACTCAGAATTTATTTTATTTAACACTAACAGGTATTGACCGTTGGAGGTAATGGCGTTGTGGATGGAGCTGATATAATTTTAACAGACTGGAACAATGAGCCGAATCAAAAGTGGCTCGCAGTTCAGGCTGGTATGTAATCCGCATTTTTGGTCTTTATTCCAGCCTTTGGCCTGGTATGACTACGTAAATAACGCAAATATCGTCTTGGATTAAAATTCACCAAACTAAAATTTCCTCGAGTTCAAAATGCAAAAATTCTATCACTTTGGCTATTGGTCATACATCTTCTTGATGAAGTTGGATAATAGTTTTCATTTTGATGAGATCCAAGTATGTTCATAATACTATTAATCATCTAACAACGCTGGCTGGTACTGACACGTATGCACAAGCAGCTGAACCGAACAGCTACTGGTGGGCGAAGGCATGAACGGGTGAGACGCCTTAAGAATTCGAAACTGTTTACAAAACGAGATCTCATAAATCAATCTAGTTGATGTTGGCATTGCATAACATTTAGCTAAAGTAGATCTATGTGCAGCAGTGTATGTATTAGGGAGGTGATACTCTTTATGCTGGTTTGATTAAAAAGACTGTATTAATTATCTTTTAAAAAATGCAGCGGTTTAACGATCATGTTATTAACATTAACTTTTTTACAGTATTTATTATTAAACTTCCATGCTTTAGTCAATCATAAATAATTACTGGCAGTATCTTCAAAGAACTGCTAAAGTACCGTGAAATCAATTAGGTTTAATTAGAGTGTCTTAATACTTATTTTCAAGCTCAATTTGAATATATTGCATCCTGCATGAGTCAACATTTTGCACTAGTATCGGCACATGCATGCTTTTTGAGTTGAATATGAACTAATTTCTTCAGCACACACTGAGGAGTTTAATTGTCATCCTCACGTTTTAAACTTCATAAGAACGAATGAATAAGACAAGGTGGATTTGCACTGGTAACTGCATTACATCATTGTCAGCCAGACCCGAGACTGGATTATATATGTTCTAACGCTACATGTATTTAGTTAAATTTCAAATTTACTTTTTGGTATACCAACTTTACCATCACCACTCCCTGCATCTCAATTGACACACATATAAAGTTCCTGGACGTAGGACGTGGCTAATTAGCAAAGTAAACTTTCCTTGGCTTTTGTAAATTTTGTTCTCAAACTCGTAGTTGTTGCTGGAGACAATTACCTCCTCCTTCCACAACAGCAGCGTTGGAATTGGCTGCATTTTTTAAGAAACGGTGAAGCCCTGCGGGAGACGAAGGAACGTCACAACAATCTCCCTGACTGGTCGTTGGTATTAAATGGGGACACCAGGGGTGAAGCAACCGTTCAAGTATGTACTGATAATGAGGCATACTTCACAATATTGCTACAAACAAAATATTACATTATGCAACTGATTGGCACATGTAGCCGAGAGACAGCAAGAAATATCAGCAGTGGAGATCCGAAAATTCCGGCAGCAACTCCAAAGTAATAATTAAAAATCTACAGGATAATAAATGTCTTCAAGCTCCGGGAATATTTTCTTCTTCTTCTGAAGGGTAAGCTCTTGAAAATCTTGCTAAACGTAATGCTGCTGCTCCTGGCTTCATACATATGCACATGTTTTTTATGAACATTCGATTTTCCATACCTGTAACAGAGGTCATAAAATATCATGCGTGTTAAAAGTGGGCAAATCTGAATTTCATTAAAGTTTCATTCTGTGTGATTAGTTGTATGGCGTGATAACTTTATAACGTGATTTACTATTTACTAAAGCCAATAATATGCATCACCGTTTTGTTTATTTGCAAATTTTCTTTTCCCAAAAATCAAATTGTATGTAATAACTAATAACTATTAGGTATACTTATTTACTGATTGCGACAAGCAAGATTGAGCTTGAGATAACGGGAGAAAATTTTTCAGAACAATTAGCAGAAAGGAAATTAAGTAGGCTGGATTTTCTTTATTTATGTAATTTTAAGAAACGCCATTTTCTTGTTGCATGAATAACGTAATAATAGTTTTGCTAATGTGACACAATAAGTATAGGATAATTGGCAATTTTGACACTATAACGGGCCTGTGGCGTCTGCTCTGAGAACACCACTGGGTCAGTCCCGATCAGATACCCTCTGACCAGCGTTACACCGAATTTGACGTGGGGGATGATTACTACGAGTAGGAGGTCAGCTCATAAATCCACTCAGAGTAGCAAAATAAATATAACATAAAACTTGTTATAAATCTCTTAAATAATTGCTACTTTATTTACTGTGGATTAATTAATTGTGAACATTCTCTCAAAAACACGTCCACATTACTTGAGTACTTTTAACGAACTAAAAGACGAGGGCCAAGAAAACAATGAGATGACGAAAGACTGCGCTCGTGCGGGACACTCAAATGTCAGGGGCAACCTAAAACTAATATTCATACATATCATCTCAATCATAACTTTTACATGAAATATTACATACATTACTATTACTCATCAGATTCGACAGGGCCTAATAAGGTCCTAAATAACCCGGTATTTGACAATGTGTTGAATTAGTTTGAATTACACCCAAAAGGTTTCGACCCGCTGAGAGTACCACGCTCCCTCCCACGACCAACCCTGGCTTTTTCCGCCGAGTGAGAAATTGGTTTGGCAACCTTTTCGGAGGTTCATCCTCCACAACGACGACCACTAGTGCTACTACCCCTAGAACTTCTAATCAGTAAATTATTTCCTACTAACAATCAGATATTTATAGCAGCGTATGCATTTTATACAATATTTTTTAATACTGAAATATGATTTTTAATGTTTCAGGCCACAAAGTACAACCTCGTCCAACAAGGTCACCTTAGCCGTGTGTGACAAGAGCAACGCTGGGCAGCAGTGGACGCTTGAGAAAATTAGCATTCGATAAAAAATCATTTATCAATTAAAATATTTTCAATTTGTGCAATTCATTAATGTTCCAAATCTGAACATATCGTACCAAAGTTTGCTAAATAAGAAGTTCAACCCTTCAACGATACCTAATAGAAAAACGAATCAACAATCGAGATCCTACTTAATCTAATCCTAAGTTATTCTTTCATCGCTTTGAATAAAGGTAATTTTTCTCCAAGTCTTCAAGTGTAGACGTTTGACACTTTTGGTGCCGGTTATAAAAACAATATCTGAAATTTCTCTATTTCTTAAATACGTTTTTCCATCCACAAATGGCTTAAACATTTATGTATTTGTAGGCTTGATTTTATTTACCACAGTTTAAGACACAAGCTCTGAAGAGAAATTTTAGTGCGTTGTTGAAAACTACATCTATGTATGTTCATACTTATTTAGTTATCTGTAAAAGTGGGGCATAGAATTCATAATCAGTTCAGAAGCCTGTAATTTCTTAAAAGCTGTTCAGCTTGTGGTTGTGGCTGCTTGCGTTTTATAAAATCACGTAGGAGTACTTATTTACTAGCAACCCACGAATCTGTTGGTGCCTTGAGTTGCTCATTACTTTCAACATAATCCTAACAAGGCAAAACTTAAAACTCCAGTTTTTCTGTGGTTATGCAAGAAAAAATAATGCTCAACTGGATAATATGAAATGGTCATTATCAAAATTGGAGCTTGCTTCATAGTTCCCTAAGCTGGTAACTTACTTGTCATGCTATTACAATTAATAGACTTTCAAAAACTAAGCTAAATGACCCTCTTGACTTCTCCGGCTGCTTTACCCTCCTTCTGTTGCATAGAAAAACTCTAACAAGGCTCCATAAAAAATAAAACCGTGATGAAATGAAGGGAAACAATTACAGAGTCGTTATGTGTTGCTGGAAAGTGCTGGAAGTTTACAATTTTGACACGATTCTGATGAAAACGAGCAAGCGTTGGGTGTAATGTAAATTTTATATTTCGAGTTTTGTTACTACACTATTTTAAAAATTTAACAAGACGAGGTGAACCTTGTTACTTCCAATTTCATATCTATTATTGTTCGGATTTTAAAATAGGTTCCCTTCAAGTGCTTTCATGTTATGTGGTCAGAAAAGTGAAATGCGCACATCATACATTTTATTCCTTACAATACCTGTTGTAATGCATTCGTTCAATTTGGTACAAGATGTTGTAACACAATAGATAGCTAACGAACCTGTAACTAAACAACTGATTGTGTTTATGGACAGAAGCTTGCCCTGTTATTTTGTTTCTCTGTGTTCATCCTGTACGAGCGGACTTACATATTCCACCAGTTTACCTGTCTCTTAAATGAGAAATTTTAAAATACACCACGATATTTCGTAATTTTGTGTATGATGCACTTTTCGTCATTGCGTCACGATTCTTAAACTGAAATTAAATAAACTTTGAATTAAATTGTCTGCTGCTTCTCCAGTTGGAGCTTCGTGTTTCTAAAACCACTTCTCTCGTACATCTCTTTGGTTGCATGCCTCGACCTCGTAGATCAAAAGTTGTGATTGAAATTTCATCCTATGAAAATCTACCTCTTCCTGTCTTCGTATGTGATCATTTCTTCCTTTCTTCCCAACCACTGTAATTGCAACCTACACTGTATTTTGTGAGACGTTGACGGCGAGTAACAATGGGGAAATTTAAACTTACCTACATATATATTAACTTGTCCAGAGGTCATCATTGCCACTTGCGCATTTAAATTTTAATGAATATTACTAATACAAGTATTATTAGACAGGCTTAATTTCATATCTTTATCCAAAATAAAAGTACTGTCCAATTCCATAGATTTTAAAGCTCATTTTCCTCATCAAAATCTGTTCAAAATTATTATTTACATTTCTACTGCGTAAAGAGGCAGTAATGCGTATGCTTTTTTATCTGTAAAATGTATGTATAACACGTAGTATAAAGTATGTACAACATGAGACGTTTTCTTGATTGGAGTGAAATCCTTCTGAGTCGTCTTCTTCTTCCTCAAGGGATTAGTTTTCTTTCTCGCCTAAGCTAAGCCAGCAGTGGGATGATTAGATTACATGATTCTGAAGGGAAAAAGTAGTAAGCTTTTGAGTTGCGGGGACAATGTCTGGACAGGTTCTGGAATAAAAAATGACACTTTATTCCCACCTTCAAACTACTTTATACGTAAGCCGTGCAAACCGAATCTTCAAGTTTCTCAATATTCCTTCCGTACAGTTGCCTGGATTTGCTCAAGACTGAAATTATTCTAATCGCATAGTGGTTATCAGACCAGACCAGCATTTACAAGTACGTAGAGTTGAAAATTGTTCACGCCGATTAAATATATACGTGCCAGACGTAATTGGCGTATATAAGTTCTTGTAATTTTTAAACTGGAGAAATAGTGCGACATCCATATTTTGTCGTAAAAAGCATAGTATGAATCTAATCCTCGTCGGTGTAGAAAGAGAATTTGATACTTTATGCCCATCAAGCAACTCAATGACTAATTTTGTAAATATATTTTATATTTCTCCGTTCAGGTTACATAAATACAAACTTGTGTTGAAAAGGCGTAACAAATCTCACTTGGCGTGCTCAACTCATTTGTTTAACTTTGTAGCTGTAATTTGATGATGACGACCTGCATGTAAAAAATGCTGATCTCTGTGTAGTCAGTCAACACATAGGAATACAGAAAAAAAGTTGACGACGATTTTTAGACACTTCAAAATAACCTCAAACGTGGTCTGGTTGTGTTTATTGGTAAATAAAAGAAATATCCAGATTTGCAATGAATCTAAAAATTAAAGGTTACATTGTTCATAGAAAAAGTTGACTACATATGCTTCTAAAATATGCAATATCAAGAAATTGAAAGTCATCCCCGATCCCTCTACGATTTTGCATCATCGTATGAAAAAGTAACAATAATAAAAATCAATAATGATGCGTGGATCATCAAATAACTCTTGACAGGCAACATTATACATGTTTTTTATCAGAGGAATATCCCTTGGTGGTTCCCTGCTGGAGTCTCAACTCCTCGTTATTGTTCTTATACCTACGAATGCCCTTCGTAGCCTGATGCACGGGTTGAAGGTAGAATTATGCAAGAAGACAGCATACACTGACACATTCGTCTTTTTACAATGCCACTACATAATACAACCACCACCACAAATGAAACAATAAATATTAATAACTCTTTGATTTCTTAAGGGTTCGTTTTCAAACCATTACTGCTGTGTATGTAAGTACATATCCTGCGATATAGAATATCATACCCGTCTTCATGTCCTCTGGTGCTTGTACTGAAATAATTTGAAATCGTTGTATAGGATTGAGAACAATACAAGATTTCAAAATCTCTTGCTTTGTTTTTCTATGACGAAGGCACACCTGAGGTAAACATTACTCTTTCCATTTATCAAGTTTGAATCAGTCCCATCGTAAAACGGCATGTAGTCCGGCATAGTCCGGTCAAACAATCCAAATTATTATTTTCAAAATGGATATTCCTCCAGAATACCAATTGATTAAATTGTAATTCTTTCTGCTGGATACACACCAGCCACCAGCACAAATGTATTTATCTATACTTTATACTTTTGTGAACACATCAATATTCAGTGCAGTGTTTACAGCCTGCGTTGGCCTTTTGGGCCTTGACATTTTCATCGATCGACCAATGATTGAGTATGAGACCAAAAACACTTTCATCTCCTCCATCAATATGTGCATATTTTTTCGAATGATTACTTGAAAATTTCTTACTGTCCAAAACAGAACAGAACAGAACGAGTAAGAGAATTTCTTTACAGATACATGACGTGACCAAAAATGATCTACTTTTAATTTTACAAAATAACTCGTAATTTTTTTGCTGATCTGTTAAAAGATATATATTTATATGAACACATGTGTGCGTAGTACTCGTCACATCTGCCGTGTAATATAAAAATTATATGGACAAGATATTCGCGTGACCATCTTTTCATTCGAATGTACAGGGAAAAGAATAATTTCACATTACACTCATTCATCACGAAGCCAGGCACGTTTCCCACCGATTGACAAGTCGAATTGAGTAGCAGCAGGGTTCAAACAATTTTCTTGAGAATGGCAAGGTTCAAAAGATTGTTAAATGTTTCTAATCGAATTCAAACAATAGTTATAAAACTTGCTAATTCATTTGTTTATCAATTTTCAAAAGACCCAAACGAGTCTATAAAATGTGGGATGCCATAAAAGTTACTCGAAATAGGAGGGCATATCGCGTTTGTAATTGTATGCAATGATTTATCTTAATAGATAAATAAACATTGCTTTGGACGTCGTTGGTTTGGTAGTGGTACGTAAAAATCAAGAATTGACTGGTTCGACAGATTGGTCTGTTTGTAGTATGAATTAGAGGGATTATCGAGGTTGGTGTTCCAGGTTGATTGGCATGGTGGAGATTTAACTATTCAATTATGTGCACTAAACTGTTTACCGGTCGTTTCAATGTAAATTGTTTCCAATTACGTTAATTTTAGGTGAACATTTTGCAACTTTTATGTAACATGAAACGGTTATTTTATTGTATCAGTCCAATAACCTGTTAAATAACCTTATGAATGTATGTACATACATAGATCAAATTATTTCAGCATATTATTTTACATTTGCAGTACGCAATTATATGGTATGATGAAATAAATTCTAATTAGTTCATGTACATTGATACATAAATATGTATAACATATTTAAAATCATTTTAACAGACACCGAGCACTAAACCGAATTCAATATAAAAATTTCAAATAAATATTAAGTCATGTATCTAAAGAGTTACAAGTTCCTTGGTTTTTATGAACCACATGCCGACATCTGCACTTTAAAACATGTACCAACTTACAAAAGAACGCGCTTTGGAACATGAACAAAGACTTTTGTTACCAACCGTCATAATATAAATCCATTCTTATAAAATATACTCATGAAAATCGTCTCCTTACGTCAAAAATCTTTAAAAAATACTTATTGCGGAGTCTTGCTGATTACAACTTTTTCTTTCCACCTTATTTTTTTGGCCCCATGTCTCAATGATAACCCGAACAAACTGTTTTCGTCTTGCTTTGTAAATCGGTGGTCGTTCCTGGGAAAACTGGAAAGTTGAAGGGGGTTGCCTCGGGAAATCCGAAGATCAAGATCCTGACCCTCGTCGCTCAACGCGAAAGCATTGGTCAAAATGCCTCTCATTATTGAACTGCTTTCCCCAAACCCTGGACCTGGAAAAGCTTCTTCGTCAGGAGTATATTCAGTAAAAATCTCAAACTGGAACTTCCCCACATTAATGTTATTCGTCTCATCCAACTGGAGGATCCATCGGGTGTACATGTGCTCATATGAATTTTGAATGTACATGTAACGATTTCCGAGTGGACAAGTGTGGAAGAAAAATAAGTCCTCGTCAAATTTTATGAGAACCAAGGAAGGCGCTACAAAAATTATGGCACATTTATTTCTGCATCCTCATACTTGGCAAATATCAAAATATGTCACAATTTCTTACAAATCATCTCATCTTCAAGACGAAAAGTCTTCTCGATCCAAGATCCATTTTCTACAACTGGTATTTCATGGTCATCTTTCAAATGGTCGACAAAATCCTTATAACGCAGTTTTTCCTCGGAACAAATTTCTTGAATTCCAAACATGTCACATTTAAAGTCCCTGTCGTAATTTAATTATTTATGATAATTGTGCACATATGTATGCATTATGCAATATCTTTGATAACACGATACAGATAATTCGTACCTGAATTGACATTGTTTCATGTGAATATCCAACATAAAGCCTTCCACGTCTTGTTCACATCCCCGCTCAGCAAATTTACATTTAAATCGACACAATGCGGCCAAATTTTCAAGAAAGAAATTTCTGGCACTTGTGCTATTAAGAGGTTTTCGACATAGGGGGCATGGTCGTTTGGAGTGGACGAGGTTGGCGAAGCATGGATCGCAGATTGAATGGCCCATCACACATAACCTAACTCTTCCCGTCATATATTCACAACATACCGGACATTCCAGCAAGCTTCGGACGAAGCTCTGATCGGTAGGAAGGCTGACATCGTCCCTGCTCATCAGAACTTCGTCAGTCATCAACGACGTGGACGTGGAAGCGCTGGAAGTACTTTTGAGCAATTAAAACATTTAGAATTAATATGCCACATAAACAAATTACGCTATATGAATTATTATTGTTTAAGAAATAGTTACCTCAAAGAGTCAAACACTGATGCCATTATGCAAAGATAAGTTTTTTTCACACCTTTTTAATTTCGGAATTAAACTGGTAGTAGATGTCATAAAAACATGTTATATTCTGGTCGAAATTTGTGCAAGGATTGATAAGTACGACCAGTAACTGAAGTATTAAGCACTACAATATTTACATGTATTGCCCATCATTATTATAAAGGAATCAAAATTTCGACACTGCATGCTGCTGAGGTTTTAAGTTCAAGTTTACACAGGTCTGGATTCCCCAGTAAATTTTTGATATTGGTTAATGGAACATGGCTACGTGTTTGTATCGGAAGGAGAAATTATCCATTGTTGACAATGACTTCCAGTTGCTGTACCTATAGTGTTATTGGAGTCTTGTTTTATTCCCTATCCAACTGTAAATAGGAACATTCCACGACAGTTTAGTGGCGACGTCATAAATAAAGTCATACATTTGGCCATGACCCACAACAGAAGTAGTAGATATTTTAGGATAGGTTTAAGCTTGAACTGAACTAAAGTCCTTTATTTGTACTATAGAAAACCTTTTACCATTACTTTTGCAGCCTTAAATATCTATTGGTCGTACTTCTGCATGTAAACCAAACTAAATACTACATACTTGTTCATTCGGTTATATGAGACTCACGATCAACTATTGTGGTTAGCATATGCTCAATACATTCCTCAATCATAATGCTTCATAGAAGTCGTATAAATGCAAAATGATAACATTTTAGGTATAATAAAAATTGTACGTAGTCAAAACAAAATGATTTCATGTTATGCTTTATTTTTTATAATGCACAACCTGCTAATCATTGAAATAAATGCAAATCATTTCAATAAATCTAAATACTAACATTAAAAGTACGAAAAGGAAGCATAGATGAACCTAAAATATGTAAGATGATCCTAAAATAGCTTTAGTTTGGTATTATTAGATGTTGCATTCTATATTTGCATATTTTGTTAACAGTTAAACTTGCATAAAAATGCATGCATTCATATTTCAGCTTTTATTCGAGTATTTCGTGGATCAACATTGCTTGACCTTTATAGTATCCAAGTAACAATTAGATGTTAATTATTACAAAAAATCAAGTAGGATTAATTTTCCTTAATTGTTGTGTTGCACCTTTTATTTTTTAAGATGAATTTTGAATCATCACCCTCATCGTGATCGTGTTAATTGGACGAACTCTCAAATGATGACCAACTTTTATGTTAAAGGAATAATTTCGACATTCTTGATTATAATTGTACTAATTTGTTTCATTAATCAAGCGGAAGCTCAAAGCTCAGCACCCGATACGAGTTCGGCAGATTCAGAGAAAGTAAGGTTGGAGAAAGTTCTATTTGACTATGACAATCGGAAGGTGAAGCTCTTTCGAGAGAAATTTTGTCGAAACCAGGATCTTGTTAATCGCAAAAAAACGTACCGTACGGACAAACACAATCATATTTTATTTCACACAGAGCATTATCGTATGTGAGTACTAAAATTGTTCTATGACATCTTATCCACAGACCGGATATGTCCCGATTTCAATCGAAATTACTTAAAATTTTTCCTGAGCCTCTTTCTGATCGTTTCTCTCGGGGCTTTGACACGGACATTGTTACGAGTTTTCGAAGTCAACATACCTTACACTGTGATTCTCATGATTTTCGGACTAATGATTGGCTTCATTTCTTGGAACTCGACTGCTTGTACGATGTGGTCAATGTACACACGAATAGCTCGGACACCACCAAAGATAATCCTCTTCGTCTTCCTCCCCGTCCTCATTTATGAGTCCGCCTTCGCCATGAAAGCTCACGTCTTTTACAAAAGCTCACTCTCCATCATGATTTTGGCTTTCCCTGGAATGGTGATGTGCACCTTTATCATTGCATTCGTCTGTCACCAGTTTTTCTATGCGTACAAATGGAGTTTTACCGTCTCTAGTTTATATGGAAGCATTATTAGTGCTACCGATCCGGTAACGTTAAACTCGTGTGCTTTTTATGCATGAAATGACCATGCTGATCATGAATGTGAAAGTTTTTGGTTGATTAACAGGTTGCTGTCGTCGCCATTTTGAAGGAAATTGGTAAGCCTACATATTAATTGAGTAAATATAATGGTCATATTTATAATGACCATAGATTTTTAAAGTAAATATGGATCATGTTAGGAACGTCGGAAATGTTAAGCATCATGATTGAAGGAGAATCCTTACTAAATGATGGATCGGCAATTCTCTTGTATGAAATCTTTATGAAGATAGTTGCTCCAGAAGAAGGCGAACATGTGACTGCTGGTAAAATTGTTTCAACATTTTGTCAAATTGCCATTGGTGGTCCTGGTAAGTAAACTGTTTCATAATTTTAACATGTGCTTCCTTTGCGCGGAAGTACGCATTTAATAAAAACACTCCATCTTATAAAGTACTTGGATGGGTTGTGGCGAGACTCTCCATTTTCTTCTTGTCCCGAATTTTCAATGACGCTGCGGTCGAAGTTAGCATCACTCTGGTTGCTGCCTATTTGACTTATTATATTGGAGAAGCATTTCTGGGTAAGCTGATTAATATATTTTTGTAGTAACAAAATATGGGTCATGTTTTTGCGGTTTTCATAATAATCAGGGGTGAGCGGGGTCATGGCCGTTGTGGCGTTAGGGATCGTTATGAGTGCGGAAAGAACATGCATCAGCCCAGAAGTTCAAGGTTTGGTTCACCACTTTTGGGTAAGAAGCTAAATAACAAGAGCTCGTGAAGTGATGAAGATATACAAATTGCTTGGTTTTGCAGGAAATGTTGGGCTATTTGGGAAACACAGTCTTGTTTGTTATGGTCGGTATTGTCATATCAGAAACTGCGATTAACAATGTTACCCTGGAGGATGGCTACTACCTCATTTTCTTGTATTTTGCTCTAAACATTTCCAGGTGCAAACTTACTGCTTATTGGAATGTGTCAATACGTACGCTGATTAATAATCAGTGATTATGCATCATGTTTTAAGTGCAAAAAATGTTCATCTCATTTGCAGATTCTTAATGATTATTGTTCTCAGCCCAATTTTAAGTCATGTTGGATATGGATTATCCTGGCAGAGTAAATCAGATCATATTTTATTTTGTTATAATATTGCTGGGAATATAAAATTTAAAAATGAATAACCACGTATCGACTGCATCGTGCACGCATTACAGACATGTTGGTCATGACTTGGGGTGGTCTTCGTGGAGCTGTTGGAATTTGTTTGGCTTTGGAAGTGTTTAAAAACCGAGAAATCTGTGACCAGACCGAAGTTGGACCAAAGGTCTGATCTTCACCGATAATATTATTTTTTGATTGGCACTATTTTTAGTATGCATTATTTTTCTCTAAAAAAGTTTCTTCTTCAAACGGCTGGAATCGTACTGTTAACGCTGATTGTTAATGGAACTACGACAAAATTACTGTTGGACACTCTAAAGCTTACGGAACTGTCTATTGGAAAAATTCAAGATATGGGCAATGCTGTAAGACAAATCCAAGGGGCTCAACAGCGGACAATGGGCGTGATGAAGCATGACCGCCTCCTGGCTGACTGCAATTTTGAAATTGTTGAAGGTTACACTTCAATAGAAAACCCTTACCTAAAGGTAAAGCACTTTTAATCAACCAAGTGATCTATCTTACTGATCTATTCAACAATTAATTATTCACTGATTTGTACCCAAACTGACCAGCTCAAAGTGAAAGCAAAGAAGTCCCCACTGGAGAAAGATCTCGTAGCAAGCCCGAGTCTGCTTGTTGACGCTCCGGAGAATCGAATTGCAATTTGTCCAGATTGTGACGGCGAAGTAGAAACTGAGCCGACTTTGGAGGAATATCGTGAAATGACGGAAGAAGCGAGACTGCGACTTCTCAAAGCTATGAAAGTTTCCTGTTGGAGACAATATGAACAAGGGGTCCTGACCGAGGAGGCTGTGCAGATTTTGGTGGACTACATTGAAAATTGTGAAGACAAGCATTTTAAAACGTTTCATGCCGACGACTTGAAAAAGAACTGGGCAGTTCGTGGCGTAGTGGCGTGGATGAGAAATAAATTACTTCCCTTCACCGTAGGACAATTGACAACAGATGATGCCCAAACCGAGCCCGACTCTAAGTATTTTTTGGTTTTCTCTAAAACATATTTTTATAGAAATATAGATTTCTTGAAATTAAACAGATGAACCTTTTGTGTTATACAGATGCAGAAAGCGGTTCTACTGCATTGTTACCAATGACTGGTTTGATGGGATTGTCCACGTTCTAATTCTTCTCAATATGATTTTCATTATTTGGGAAACTGTCGATATTGTCACAGAGCATCGCTTCACATATCAGGAAATAATTGGCTTTCTCGTCACAAATATTGTCTTCACATTTCTGTTAACACTGGAATTTCTTCTCAAGGTTTGTACATGCACTATAAATTTAATTCAGGACAGGGATTTTGAAAATGAGTGCTTTACACCAAGTGTTTTGCTCATTAACAGGTCATTGCATTCGGATGTGGGGGCTATTGGTCATCAAAATGGAACGGTAATAATAATAATTTATATTAAAATTGCAATGCTTGAAGCTTATACTCAGGATGAATTTTTAATTGATTTGTTAGTGATGGACGCGATAGTGCTTATAATTTCTATTATCGAAATATGCTTGTCGATTACCTACTTGGCTCAATCAAAGAAAGAAGCAGAATTTCAAACGGCGCAGGCTGATACTGAATTTCTTAAATTTTTACGGTTCGTTCGTGTTCTCAGAATTATTAGGATTTTGAGGCTGTTTCGTGTAAGCAACACAAACAACATTGGTTAGGACTTTGTCCATTGTTGAACAAAGCTTAAATTTTACAGCCACTGATTCCTCGTTTCATGAACTATCTCAATGCACGAGTCAATCAGGTGTTGTTCTTTGGATATGACGTGGCAAAAGGATCTGCTACTGCGATCGACGATGTGATGAAATTTCTTCCTCAAATGATTGAAAACCAGAAAGTTTACAACAGATTCAAGACTGTTCTTGAGGATCAGCGATTAATACTTTTACTTGAAATGGGCAAGTCACATATTTATTTATTGTCACTTTAATGCTCCGGCAAGATAATTATAGCTTTGGAATCACAAAAATCAAGCATTATTTTGCAAAAATTCCAGGACTCCTGCAGAAAGATCACCCTGGAATTGCAATAGCAATAAAAACTCGGCATGCGAATCGTGCAGTTTTGAATCAAATGCGAAGTGCATTAAGCGAGTTGAAAGAAGATGGTACGAGATTTTTGAAACATATTTGCAACTTATGTATCTACTAATGATTATTTATTATTGTATGAGAATGACAGAATTATTACATTTTGGGTTAAACCGCACAGGTCTGATAGATGAAAAAGAGTACGATATTCTTCTTCACTTGATTGAAAGTAAAATGAAAGGTCTGTGGCACACTCCGAGCTATATGACTCCTCGAAGACCTGAAATGGTAGTAGCAGGTATTTATTTTCACTTATCTGTCTATCTTATCATATCTTATTGTAGCATATATTTTTATTAACATAGATTTGCAATGGGTTTCTGGCAGTACCGATCTGTTGAGTTATCTCTTGGTATTTAAACTCCCAATATGATATTCCTTCTTCTGAAAGTAAGAATAAACAATTAAATTGTTCTTTGGCTTCAGAAACAAGCTACAATTTTGCAATTTGCCGTTGGGGACGTAATATACTCAGCCGGAGACGATGCTAACGGAATCTACATCATTGTTTCAGGAGTTGTGAAAATTAATTACAAGCCATCATATGATCAAATTCAGGTAGTCGACTTTAAAACCAACAAATAGTATGGAGTCAAGATATCTATGAGCCATTTTGTAATTGATCAGGCGAGAGAGGACGATGGAATAATCCCAAACGCCGATATTTTCCACGACGCTACATTTGAATCCGAAATGACCGATTATTTCACAACGGGAGCAGTTCTTGGAGAGCTGGGCGTCCTTACAGGGTTTTCCCGAGCGTCCACTGCGACCTGTGAGACAGGAGTTATGGTTTACCACCTGTCGCAAACTACTATGCAAAGTGCGATGGAGTCATTTGATGACCACTACGACTCGTTGGAAGGGCGATTGTGGCGAACTTTTGGGATGAAATTGGGTAATTTATTTGTTTATGCCACTTATTCTTTATGATGAACAACATAATACAAAATGTATGGATACAAACGTAATTACCAGGTGCGGCGGTGCTCCCTAGTGAGCCAGCTTTTCAAGCGTGGACAATGGACAAAATCAAGGCACATTTGGAGTTATCTGCTGTCCCAATTGGGGATCAATACTTGACGGTGTCATTTCCTTCCTTTATTTCGGACGTCGTACTTATATACGGACAAGTTGTGAATGTTACTAATCCGACAGAGATATATACTGCACCATGCCTTATTCCGTCAACTTGCCTGCAAATTAGACCAGTACTGCCTAAAATACCTAATTGCTGCGTGTACGTATATTATTTCTTTACTGATATTTTGACCAAAATACAACCATAGGTTGCCAAATGGCAAGTGAGACCCAGAGTAATGATTATTTCTTCGGACGATTTGGACAACGAAGCAACGGGAGATGATGAAGAAAACGTGTCTCCCAGCACAACTGATATTCGAAATTTCATGATGACTGCCACAAAACCTGCGTCAATTGATGAGGTTCGAAAACTCGAATTGACTTTGACTTAATAGTTCAAACTGGTGTATAAACAATCACATTTTCTGATTCATTACAGGATCAAGTGAGTCAAATGAATCGTCCTTCTGCTGCTGTCAGCTTTGGAGTTCGTAAGTTGTGCTCATAACTTGCATAATTAAATTCGCGAATGTCTGGCAAATAAAGCATAAATTTCTTCATTAGACCGAAACAGCACTGTATCACCTGGTCGAATGTCACGGAGACTATCAAGGGCTCCGGAAATTCCAAGCAACCAAGGAAGCAACAGGAGTCGCAGGCGACGCCAATCTCGTGCTGCGAGAGGAGACAATCCTTAACCAAAATCAAAAAAACATGTCGCATATTTTTTTATAAATCGATAATTCCCAATTTACTAATATGACTAAATACTTGCATGCTCATCAGAACAGAAATTGAATAACAGAAACTTATGACTTGAGACGGTCGAGTGGGGTACTGCTTTACACAATGGGTCGAAATAACCAAAGTATTACTCGCACTGCTTATTTTTTCCATCCATAAAAATGGTTTGTTTAATTAATTTAGCATTCTCATGTTAATTCAGTCCTTGTAAATAAAGGTTTGTCCTAACATCTTCCATGCAACGAATTTCTACCTCTCCTATGTATGCAAATTGCAATACAGATAGACATTGGCTTAAAGTATCACCAAATATGCTGCATTAAACATCAAGTAAAGTCACGAATTACTAATCATTTCAATTAAGCACTGAATAGAACAGGTATGTAGTTGTCCAAATTGGAAATAATTAACTCGTACTTATGCATATATTGGCATTAAATATTTTGTGGTGGGTAGTTGGCTGGCTTTATTATCATTCTCGTCATGCAAGCTGAAGATGTTCACATAATATTTCAATTAGTCTGTGTTTGCTGAAAATAATGAGATTCAAAGTAACACGACCTTCGTTGCTTGTAAGAATTTTTCATTGGCTAAGAAGCATCAGTAGTTAAATCTTGTTTACCAAAAGTAGTCAATGTCCACTAAATAGTTAAACAATTGCAGATTGCATATGTACATATATACGATTGTAGAAGAGAGACGACTCAAGGTGTCCGACTGGCCATCATGTTAGGATAATAATAATAATAGTAAAAAATAGTTTTGTGAGTGTAAATTACTTGAAACTATTAATAGATTGTATTCTGTGAACCCTGAGGAAGGATTGCTAAATTAGCTGCACAAATTTCCATCACTTGCAATATATATATAAAGAGGAAATATAATGCCATCAGCTACTTGTCGAATGGGCCACAGGGCCCCAGTGTGGCTCTCTCTCTCTTTCATAATCTCAATTTGTGGGGTTTTCTGCAATGGTATTTGTAAGATATATGTAATGGTAATACCGGTCACTTTGTATCCTAGAAAAAAGTTAATTTTCTCCGTAGGAGCTGTACCGATTGACCCAAGACTCCAAGCACCATGGGTAGCGTCCATTTTCAAAAAGAATTCTGCAAATAATCAATGGGAATATATTTGCGGTGGGACTATCACAAGTGCTAACACTGTGATCACCAGTTAGTCAAAATTAATTACCAGCCTTAAATATGTACATATAATCATGCTGAAATACATACAACTAAAAAATTTATCCATAGGCGCAAGATGTGTTCTACCCAGGATCAGCAAAAACGAAAAATTGTCGAGCCGTCCTTACCATTACAATTATGCTGAACTACAAGTGGTAGCTGGTCTAAAAAGTATTAATTTGGATGCAAAAGATCAGTTCACTCAAATTGGACAAGTTGGCCAGATTCGTGACCTATTTGCCTTTACCGACAATCCAGATACTCCTTACAAAGATTTGGCTGCTCTCCGTCTAAAGAATCAGTTTAACCTCTCCACTCCTTACGTCAAAGATGTATTACTGACACAATTTGGACAAACGATACTCGAAGCTAATGCTACCAAACCTGGGGATACAGTGATGCTGGCTGGCTTTGAGCGAATTGACCCTAACAGCGTTGGCGTTCAGACGCGATCCAAGACCAATCAAACCCTCCAAGTTCGTCAAGTTGTGCTAACTGATATCGGGGCTTGCATTAATCGCTACCTCTCATCTTATGATGCATTTTACTTTGATGTGCTCTGTGCGAAAGGAGCATCTGAGAAAGATGTCGTTCCCTGTAGGTTTGAAGGTGCTGGAATGATTACGCAAGGAATGTTTGACCCAAAAGCGAAAAACTCCAAAGTAGAATTTTACCTGATGGGAGTTTACTCGTCTAATACTGCGCTTTCGAAGAGTGAAGGAACCATCAAAGCCAAGAACCAAGTGAAGCCTGAAGATTGCACCGCAAACGATGTCATCTTCTTTACAAAGTTGGGCTACTTGGAAAGGTGGGGTATTAGCCACGATTTTTGTGGACACGACCTCGCCATGTGTCTCAACAATAAGTGTCGCCCTTGGGAAAATCTATGTGATGGAACACCGCAATGTGACGATAAATCTGACGAGACGCAACAAATGTGCCATAACCAAAAGCCCAAGAAATGATGGGTGTATATGCCTATCAATGAGTTGTTGTTACTGTTAATTGTTTTTATATTTACATACACCGACTTGTGTGTTAATTTTTTTGTTGATGAATTCAAAACAGAATATAAATGATTTACCTAGAAGTAATTTCTCCGACAAGTTTATTCTTTGCATGACATGCATATTCCAACACGAGCATTTGATACAAAAAATTTAGAGGATGATTTTACCATATAAATTGAAACCTAAGCCAGTAAAGTATTGACTAATGCTTTATCGACGTTTAGATTTTGAGGGAGAAGCATTAGCAGTGGCGACATTGTTTGGTAATTTAGCCTTCGCGTTTGATTTTGCAACTGCAAGTTTTTTGGGAGCTGCCGCTGCCACATTGTTTGCAGGAACGCTTGTTTTGACGTCTTTTGCACGATATGACCAATGAAGTGCAGGTTCGGCCTTTTTGACCGTGGTTTTGACTAATGGTTGTTGTGTTTGTGGTGGTTTTGATGGCGGTGGAGGTGGTGGTGCAAAATTGGAAGGTTGTTGGGGTTCATCTCCTTCGGGAAGAAGGGCAACAGCGTCGCGTTCCAACATCGCCTCCACGTCCGCTTTCACCAACTCCTTGATTATCTCCTTCTCGCTGGTGGTAGCCTAAAGAAAATTATTTAAATGGACGTAAAATTCAATAAGTAATCATCCAGTAATCAATTTTTCGTACATTCACAAAGTACGGATCATTAACGATTGGAGATTTTAACTTCTTCTTCACTTGTGAAGCGTTTGGGAGGTCAGCCATTTTTTCTGTTCCAGAAGATGTTGCCGATGTCTCACCATGTTCCATCGATGACTTCTTCACCACCTGCTTCGACGACTTGGATTCCTGCACATATAGTAAATTATTATGATTTAGATGCCGAATTGAGAAAACTAACACAATTTTTTTACCATTTTCTTTAACATTTTTTCTGCAAATAGTTCTTTGACTGATGGCTATTTACTGGGAAAAGAGAAAAATTTAAACGATAAATTTTCAAGAAATTTGTACCAATTTGTGTGATTTGAATTTCAAGATGCCACAACTCAGGATTCTTCAATCACTAACGGCTACGCCGGTGTTTCTGGGTTCGGCCGTCACTCATAACAATTAAAATTTTTAATTATTTGAAAAGGTGAGGTAGCCGGGCTACCTCGCTTCGTGCAGCCCGACCTAGAATTTGACCGTGTTTCATTGATAATGCAACAATACTTGTTGAGATTACTAAATATTAGAGGAATATTATTTATTTCAACAAAATGTGCAATAAATTTTGAATAGATGGATGAACTGTTTGCCTGAACTTTCATCATGACCTCTTCATTTTTAGCCCGAGCTTATGGAACCGTCATGTCCGTCTTACGATAACTCTCGTTAAACTTATCCTATCGACTTGAAATTTAGTACACGTGTAGAATAGGTTAAATGAGGAATTAAGTTCGAAGATGAGCGAAATCGGTCAAGTAGTTGACCGGTGGGGGTCATATAGGTGGATGGGGTATTATGCACTAAAATTTCAAAATCGTTCTAGAAAACTAAAATTTGGCATTCAGGTGGCTAATGGTGTCTAGTACTGTCTACTTGAAGAATATGAAGTGAAATTTGTAAAATTTTCTTCTGGAGGGACCCGAGGGGGTGACCCATACGGATGTTTGAAATTCCTCAAATCAAGCTGAAATTTGATAAAAAAAGGTACTAATAGCCCTCGATGGAAGAATATGAAGTGAAATTGGTAAAATTTGTATGTAGAAGGACCCTTAGGGGTGGTCCATACCGATTTTATAAATTGTCTTAAAGAGATGAAATTATGTACGATGTATGATGCTTCTTATGGTAGTATATGAAGTTAAAACCGAGCAAAGTGAAACAAAAGTAACCCCAGAGGGTGACCTACGCCGCTTTCTAAAAGTTTCTATTGCGAAAGTTGGTATTCGGGACACTGGTCATATTTGTGTACTAAAGTGAAAGTGCAATGTCATACGAACGAATCACCATTTGAAGGACCCAGTAGTACTGGGTCCTTCAGTAGGATCACCCCCACTGGTTTGGAAAACAAAGTAGAAGACTAAAAGATCTTGCAGGGTTAGAGCAGCTTAATAAATTTTAAGATTCTTTTTGCCAGGAGGACCTGGTAGGCTGACCCATACTGGTTTTTTAAATTGGTCCGATAAGCTGAAATTTTGCATGCTGGATCATGGGAAACATTTTTGACGTTTAAACATCAAAACTGTCAAACTACAGTTCGCAATTGCGAATTGTAGTTCACTCCACACTGTAGGTTTTTCATTCCCATCACCACCACCAGTAATTTCTCTCATTTTCTGTAATTATTAAGATAAAATAAATAATGATATGATAAGTATAACACTAGTAATATGACATTTTCAACGTATGCAAAATTCCAAGTCGATTGGATCAATTTTACGAGAGTTGAGACGGACGGACAACACATGTACATAATCCCTGGGTCGGGCTGAACAGAATTTTCACCGAAAGTAAAAATAATTAAAAATTCTTTTGTTTACCTAGTGACGGCCCCACCCCTAGAGCAAATGCTTTAATTCACCCTGGCCACAACTATGAAAATATGGGATCATGCAATGCAATGCAATCTGTATCCTTGACGAGATAAAAATCTGACTCAAACCATTTATGATATGAACGAATGTGCCAACAATAAATTGTATATTAAAATTTGTCTGCCAGTACTGCGTAATATGCATTTTTATTCAATATTTTAACAGTTGTACATTCGCTGCAATTTTGCAATATCGTTACCAGTGATTGAGTTACCTCCGACTGTAGATCCATCCTAAAATAATTATTTAAAGCGAAATTAATATCCGAGTAAAAACGTATAATTATTTGATAAATGGTTCATTTGCACTAATTTGTACACAGAATAGTATGATTTCAATGTGCAAAAATAAATACCTTAGCGAGGATAGTTGGCTGTCCATTGCTGCTGAAGGCGTAGCTGTCGTAATGCATAATGGACCTCGTATCATATGGAACGCCGAAAGTGGTGGTGTCATCCATTTTATCGAAATTGTGGGAAGTGTCTACAAGAACGTTTGAAAATCAGAGTTTATATTAATCGGGTCTCTAAAACGAGTGTATGCAACTCGAATTTCATCCGTTCTACACATACCTGGGATGACATTGTTCCATAGAATGTTAACATGGTCATCTCTGTCGGGTCTATAAAACAAAGCAGTTTTTCATGTACTCACGTCAGGAGCATTCTCAACTGTTTACACGCGTGCTATATTAAATTTATGTCTTACCTTGACTGTTCATGGTAATAGCCCAGTGCGTGAATACATTCATGTTGAACAATATGTTTGTAAATGCATCCATCAAATTGCAAGTTTAAGTCCTAAAAAAGAGTCAAAGTTAGGAGAATACTCAAAATTTGCATGCATGTAAAATGTGGGGTCTTATTTATTAATCAAACACACCTGTCTCCCCCCGAGTCTGCCAACCCAAGCCCAGCATCCAGATCTGTGGTAAATAGGAAAAACTGTACAATGGATCAAAAAAAACATGCTTAATTTTCGATCATGCTTACCCAGAACCGCCTCTCATAATTTCGACATAATCTCCAGTAGGGTTCGAATCTTGTGGCCACATTAACACTTGTATGCACAAATGTTGGCTTAACTCGTACAGAGCGTCGTTGATTACACTGTACTCATTTTGGTCTATTTATGAAAAAAATGTATGGATGATCCTGGCCCCTTCTTTATGTGCCATATAATACAATCTTTAGGACTTACTGAACCCCCTATCCGGGTGGACAATGAATCCATTTCTCCAGCGATATCGCTCGTCAATTACCCCTGACCTCATCTGTTCCGGCGTTAGTTTCATGTCAAAGACTGGATTTCTGAATGGAGATATGGCCGCCGTGTCTGGAAAAAATAGCTTTGTTAATTTTTTAGAATTAGTCTTCCGCTGTCAACTTACCATTGGAAGTGGGTTTTGTTGGTGGGAGTGGTCGGACGACGGGGGTGGACCAGGCAACAGCGCACAGGCTGAGCAGCAAACAAACGACAACTTTAACGTTTATCATGTTTACAGTGTAATGCAATTTTGATCGTAATTGCTCGACCACCCAGATGAATGTTAAGCATCACTTTTTGCTCTCCTGGGTTAATATACGCTCCAAAAACCTGGGCCATATCCAATTCGACAAATCTCTGGGTATTTCAACAACCATTATAAATAAGATAAAAACGTAATTTTCGTACTTCAGCACTGTCATCCACATGAAAATCTTGAATGATCGATTAGTGCTTGTGACAATTAAGTGTGTGGGGCCGTCTGCAGAAAAGGGTAAATTCATAAGGTACTCGTAATCATGCGTCAAGTGGTCTTATCAAAAAATTAAATGTATTAGCCAATGTGCATGCATATGCAACGAATAATACCATGAACTTTGACCAGTAACATTATTTTGACAATATTTGCACTTTGTTGTAACATGCTTGGATTTCCAGGAACTGTTAAACCAAGCTTGCATACAAATTATCTAATTGCATACATGTGGTTAAATAAACATAAATAACATATCTGACCTGCTGGTAATTTAACTTCGAGTCTAAAAAGCTGCAGCTTTTGCCTAGCTAAAGTTTTGCGTTGTTAAGTAAATCATCTTATCAAACACAGTATCACCAGTACTCGAGTACTAAATGCTAATTATACCATACTCAGTATTTTTATTTTCATCAATATCAGCGCTGACAGGAGTTTTGGCAAGCGGATTGATTGGTCATTACTTCATGAGGTAAATACGTGTGTATTCCTAGATAATACTAACACATAACTTTTTGATTGCATAGATGTTGAACTGAATGAAACAATGCCAATTCCACTACAAGAAATTGAAGGCACTAATTTCGTTATTTACAGAAAGAAGGTACATACATAGAAACATTTTTTGGTATTATTACATGAAATGTTAATTTCATAAGATCAAGTGTACATATATGTGCATACCTATATATTATATATATTTATGCATGTAAATATCTTTTATCTCATGCGCTTTTCAGATGAAATGGGGAAAGGCATATGAATACTGTCACGTTTGTGTCGGGTATTTTGCTACCTTTCACACCGTGGAGATTGCTAATATGGTTCGCAATAAGATTTACGATATAAGCACGTTCTCTGAAGAGTATGATGATGCAAAAGTCAGGGAAGAGTTTGGCCTGGATAGACGCTACTGGTTTGGTCTTCGAGATCAAGTCCCCACAGAAAATGAATGGCAGTGGGTGAGCAGCCCCAGCTCGGAAGGAGTTCCCGGCAAGAACTCATGAGCTATCCATGGTACCCGAACCAACCAGATCATAACGACACGAGCCACGGTAACAATAATGAACATTGCGCTGGGTTGTGGAATCCAGGCTACTATTACGACACGTTCAAGAAAGATCCATCTAACAAAGAAGCCAAACAATCCAAACATTCGTTCAACGACTTTCCCTGTGACGCTTTGCATTATTTCATTTGCGAGAAAACCGACCCACCGCCCTTATCGCTACAACATTGCAAGGACCTCCAAACTAATCCCAGCGTTAGTGAAACCGAAGACTCTGCGGACACCACGACAAGTGATCCAACGAAAGATTCGACTTCAGTAGAAGAAAATACCTCCAAAGAGACGCATGCTTCTGAAAAAAGACACGCCACTCCGGACCGTAGTGTGACTTTGATAACAATAAGAAAAAATAAAAAGAGTAGTCGGAGGGAGTGACAAACAATACCAAAGTTCTTTAACCTATTGATCATATTAAATTGTTAGGTTGTTTTGTAAGCAATTTCTGTCCGCACATTGTGCAATTCATGTATGTACATAAATAAAGTCAATACTATGAGCGTTCCCCCGCATCGAGCTTGGTGGAAACTCGTTATTAAACTTATTTTAATTTGTCAATGTGTCAACCACATTTCGTGTACCGGTTTGACAAGTAAGCACAAAGTTTAATATGTCTCGTTTCCAAAATTAATTTACAATTTTCGTATAAGATCACGACCATGATCGTAAAGTTCCTATCGCCTACAAGGAGCTAACAGGATCCAGTTTTATAATTTATAGAAAGCGGGTAGAACTTGAACTTCTTTTAAATAATGCTGTTTTAAATCACGCTTAATTAAATAATTCATTTTCAGATGAGCTGGGAAAATGCACTAGTATTTTGTTCAAAATGCGTCGGGAATTTTGCAACGTTCGATTCTGTCGAAATTGCAAATAAATTGATTGACCTGATTTATAACATTAGCCATTTTTCTGAAGAGTTTGATTATGGTGAGAAACTTGACGAGTATGGGTTAAACCGACGATATTGGTTCGGACTCCACGACCAAAAACTGAAGGAAGGGGTGTGGAAATGGGTGAAGAGCACGAGGGTGAAACCACAGCCCGTTGATAACGTTGACACATATCCTTGGTACACTAATCAGCCTGATCATCACGAAGAAGATGCAAAGCATAAGGCAGAACATTGCGTTGGGGTGCGTCCTTGTAAAATACAATGCCAAGTCCACATATTTAAGCACTTTATTTAAGAAACTTAATGTAATTTGTCTCCCAGCTTTGGAACCCGGTTTACCACTTGGACTCAAAACCTGGCCGATTAGAAAAGCATACGTTCAATGATATGGACTGTGATGGACATTACTATTTCATTTGTGAGAAAACTGATCCGCCACCGTACGCTGGAAATGAACCAGAATTCTGTAAAACACCATCGTCTCATGGAAAATAATAAAAGTCTCGTGTCAAGACAATTTCATAAATATTACAGTTGTCAATTCAATAGTAAACTATGTATAATGGTGCTTAAAGTAGGTTAACAACAGTTATATTTCATGTTATTTTTTTTTATTATACACAAAAGTACTTAACTATCCTCCTTTGTTCACAGCGAAATGTACTTCAAATAATACCGGCCTCACAACAAACCGTACTTTTTTCCTAATTTCTATAAAGGTTTTGTTAATAACACGAAAATTGTTTTGCCATATTTTATTGAAGGATTCGAGTTTCTGTATCTTATTAATAGCAGTGATGCTGTTATTCAGTGTTGCTTCTAGAGTATCAATTCGTCCAGATGCTTTCGAAATTGCCTTTGTATTTGTTTCGACTAGGTCATTGATAAGAGAAATATTGGCTGCTAGGGCTTCAATCTGATTGGCGAGGCAGCTGCAATTTTGTTCAATTTGGACTTGTAGTGATTCCAATTGACAATTCAATTGATCAATTGAGTTACGATTGCTGACTGCAAGGGAAAAAAGTGCGAAGCTTTAAGTAAATCCATAGTAGACAAAGACAAATGCAGCCAAATCTTACATACCCGCAGTTTTGTTGACGGATGTGATTCGTGCGTTTACAGCATTGCTATCAGTTTGACCTTTGACTGTAGACACCAGTAGGACAACCTGGAGTGTAAGTAATAGTATTGTTGAGATCAAGCTCCAAGAAAAAAAGTTTAGGTGTGCCATTTCAGAAAAATTTTGGTTAAAAATATGCAATGTTAAAGTTTTGCTGTGGTTTTATTACATAGATTGCATGTCATTCGTAAAACAAAGCGTTTGTGGTTGACCATGCGTTTCAAATGAAACCATTGATACGATATGAATAATAAAACAAACTATGACTAATTATTATCTGCTTAAACAATGTACGATTTAAGCCACGTGGTGGAATACTATACAACAAAAGAACAAGTGTTTGTGATCACCTAAATTTGATCTATTGTACCAATAATACGTAGAGATACATAATAAACACATCCTATTATTTTCAATTAAATTCGGGTTGGAACAACATGCATTTATTGAATGAAAAATCGCATTTAAAAGTATCACAATAAATTTCTATAATGTCAGGCATTGTCAGTAAAAATGACTTCAAAATTATTTTTGTAATTAAAAGAACTCATAGTTAATGGTCAATCAGGATGTTTTTTAAAATTATATTTGTTCCTTCAACGTAGACGAATGAAACCTTGAAAATATATGTATTCAATGAATTAAGAACAAGATACAATTGCTAATATTATCCATGGTCAACGGCATGTAAATATTTTCGTTTGTTCAATAGAAAGTTGATGGCGGACGTGCTCTTCATGCAAAAACAAACTCCCACATGCACAATGCAGGACAATATGCGACACAATTATTGTTCAATTAATAACCATATGTAGCTCACTTCTAATTGGCTTTCACGGTGGAGGTACGTCATGCATGTGTCATTACCAATTCGGATTATCATTATTATGAGTAAATTCCTGGTACTTGTTTGTTTCAGCTACCTCGCTCCGATTGATGTGTCATCATGGCACGCACTCTTAGGTACGCCCGCCTGTAGCTAGTAGCTTGAGATACCATATGTATAATAACTAAATTGCAGTATGGAGATTACAGGAGATATTTTGAAAGTTGTTTGCAGATGCCCCTGAGACAGACTCACCTCAATCAAAATCTCTGGGCAACAGCCAGTTTTTTATCTTTAGAAAGAGGGTGAGAATATAGTCAAAGAAATGCTCGTAAGAATTGACTATTCAAATGATAGCTTGCAGGCCAGTTGGGATGAAGCCAAGGTCACCTGTGAGACAACAATCGGAAGGCTGGCTGTTCTCCCGAGTGCTGATGACGCTGAAAATCTCATCGATGAGATCAAAGCCATCAGCACACCATATTCATTAGAATATGACCGTTCTGTCAAAATGTACGAATTTGGGATGGATCGCCGGTATTGGATAGGCCTGTCAGACCAGGAGGAGGAGAGCAATTGGGTGTGGGTGGATAATCAGGGGAAATTGGGCTATGATTTTTGGTACCCCAACCAGCCGGACCACATAATTTCAAAAAATCCAGAACACTGCGTCACACTATGGAACCCTGCCTATCACTTTGGAGAAAGTCACAAATTTAATGATGAGAATTGCTTAAATAAATATTATTTCATATGTGAGAAAACGGATACAAAAATTGCACTGGACGAATCTCCCATCACGACGACATCATCTCCAAAACCGAAAGGCAGATCAATGTCAAAATCTAAAAAGAAACACGAGGCTAATGGACACAGAAAAACTGCAAAGGAGTCGCAAAGCAAGAATACCCATTCTCATAAAAATAAACACAAGAAAAAAACTACTACAGTTAAACCAAAGAAAAAAAATAAGAAGACAACAACTAGAAAAGCACCAAAGAAAAAGACGAAGAAAAAGAACATCCCCAAGAAGAAGAAGCATCATATTAAGACTACTCATGCTCCTGAAACTAAAAAACCTAAAAAGAAACATGAGACAAAAACTACTACTCGAAAAACAACGACTACAGCCGTACCAATAAAAATTCGTCATAAGACTGTTACACGAAAATCATCGCCAAGACCTTCTACAACTGTCAAACCTTTAAAAACGCTTCGTACTTCTACCCACAGATCAACTACCTCTCATTCCACAACAACAACAACACGTCGAACGACACCGCAACCCTCACAAAGTACAACGTTATTAGCCCACTTTGCAAATCCGGAAACTTTCACGGTTCCTGGAGAGGCTGCTATAATGGCAGATATGATAAATGAAATGCAAATACTACCCGAGAAAAATAAGAATGAGCTCCTTAATTTTTTGAAGGATGATTCTGACATTAGCAATGCTTCTATACCATCTGCTTCGATTAAGAGCACAATTTCGACGACGACATCGAAACCTCCGAGTCACACCACAATAATGTCCCCACTTTTGATATCCACCACCACGACCTCACCTGCGACGACAACCACTTTAATAATTCACCAGACAGCAACTCCCAAGCCAATCGACGGAATTGAGCATGTCACCGTTCCAGGAGAAGATGTAATCATGAAAGATTTGATGAAGGAAATTAAAGGACTTCCAGATTCGGAGAAAAGTGAACTGGAAGCGTTTCTGAAGGACAAAAGTAGAAAGAGAAGGTATGAAGTGTCTCCATCAACGACGACGACGACGACAACTTCAATTTTCAACACAACAACAGCCAAACCCAAAGGAAAACGAAAAGCCATTGTCTCAATAAGTTTAAAAGAGCTATTAGAGCAACGACGTAAGCACAGGACGTTATAGGACACGAGTACATGTACTGCTGAATAGTGGTAAGTACGAGTACGTCTCCTATACTCGTATACGTCTCGTATAATAGAAAGAGTCGGCGAAAAGTTAAGATAATTGGTTGAATGTCATTATGATTTGTATATAATAATTTGTGCTATAAATTATGATATTTTTGTTAAGTATAGATAACTCTCCTCTTGTTTTCTTGCAACTTTGAGAATTCTACTCTACTAAATTAGTATTATCTTGAAAATAAACTAAAACGTCAAATACAAGAAAATAGCGGAAGCGAAGTGACGAAAATCTGCATCAAATATGCTACAAATTGATATGCAAGGTCCGTCGGGTCCTCGTAGATCAAGATGATACTGATTTCTGAAAATAATATCCCGCACAAAGATTTAAATGGTGTTGATATCCGAGACCAGAATGATGACCAGAATGACCAGAATGCATTTGAAAGTTATGTGGCGATAGACAGACGGACGAAACGTTCGCATTAAGTGCTCCATTCTTCCGCTACTTAATAAATGGAGGTTAAATTGACGCCAGTTGAACTATGGAAAGTTTATATGTCCGTCTAGTTAATCTCATATTTAACATTATCTGATGAAAATATGTTAATCACCTGCCCATTACATAATTGGGCAACACATGCAAACCTAGAAAATTCAAAGAAACGAATTAATGATGCAAGATAAGAAGCTTGGCTCATGGCTTCATGTTTGACGTCCTTGCCTACATTAACCAAATGAACTCCCTTTCAGTTGACTTATGTAGGTACACCACAGTTCTGGAGGAATTCACTTTAGCTGAAATAAATAAAACCAAAGTTTTTATAAATTTGACAAAATAACTCAACAACTGATTATCTAGCAATTTTTTAGTTACATAATAGTTTGCAATAGTAGTACTAGTACTTATCAATTAAGTAGAATGAAGTACGTGGTTAATGGTAAAGTCAAGAACACGAAAAATAATTCAGATTCAAATTTTCAACCAACAATAAAAGTTAACGTCACTGATCATCCAAAAAATTTTGAAGATGTTTTGGAAACATTGGGTAAGTACTTATTTTCTTATGAAACATGGCAATAAATACTTGCTCCAATTCATAATATAGGAATTTGAAATATGTATTTCATATTTGTGGCCTTATAGGTGGCTTCGGAATGTTCCAAGTTTTGGTTATGTTTTTATACTTGATACTAGAAATCCCAATGGCGTTTGCAATTTTCATTCCAATATTTGTTGGTGAGTGTAGTTATTTTTACTGGTGTGCAAATTTGATTGCAAAAATTTATATTATTTAGGAAGATCTCCAGAAGCTTGGTTGTGCAACAATGTAACCGTTTTTGAAAGCGAAATATGTCAATGTAATGGTACGATAGCCGGCGTGTCAAATGAATCTATAGTCTCCGAGGTACAATATTCACAATCATAATGAAAATGTTCATTATTTGACTTGCATTTTTGAAATCAGTGGAATTTAGTCTGTGGGAATGCATGGATATCCGATTTCATTACAAGCGTCCAAATGGTTGGTCTCTTCTTTGGGAGTATTTTTGGCAGTCAAATTGCGGATTGGTAAGGACAGTTGCGTTATAGCGTCCATAAGCAAACACGGCTAACTTTGTTCATACATTTTTTATTTTTTAAGGTACGGTCGTAAGAGTGGATTTTTACTTTCGATTTTATTGGTGTCACTCGGCTCCTCAGTCAGCGCTGCCTCCCCATCGCCGTACGTTTATGCAGTTTCTAGATTTTGCAGTGGTGCAGGGATACAATGTACGTTATAAAGTATTATTTTTTACTTTATTTCATGGAATATAACTCAAGAACTATGGCGTTCCAGGTTTTATAAATGTCACAGGCGCTGGTGTTATGGAATTTATGCCACCAAAGTTCAGGTCTCTTGCAAATTGTATAGGACCGTTGGGAGAGGGGATCATGATTTTGAGTGTGATATCGTACTATGTTCGCCCATGGAGAACATTGTACTGGATTACCACAGCCCCATTTGTTTTAATTATTTTTATATTCCCGTAAGTTCGGAAATATGTGTATATTTTTTCATAGTCAGCTATTGTTGGTTTAGATATAATTTAAATACATGTGCTTTTCCTTTAGATTTTTACCAGAAAGGTAACAATCTTTTTTAATTTTTAATTTTATTTTACGTAATATTATATTAAAAATCTTAATATTTACCTGAAATTTAGTCCACGATGGCTTCTTCGTCAGAATAGGGTTGAGGAGGCGCATGCCGTTCTAAACTATGTGGCAAATGTTAATAGAAAGAAGCAAATTGATATTAACGTTCTCAAAGAAATTGCCAAAAGTGAAGACCAGAGTTGCTCTCAAACGTCTCAAAACGAACATCCCGGATATCTTCAATTTCTAACGGATCGAAACCTTCGAACGACGAGCTTGTTCATAATTGCCATTTGGTTTGCTTGGTCCTTAACTTATTATGGGATAAGCTTTAACATAAAAAACTTGGAGGGACACATTTACATCAATGTTTTTCTCAAAGGGGTTGCAAATGCATTGGGACAACGAGCCACACTTTTAATAAACGATAGGTAAGCAACATGCTAAATTCTAAATATTAAATTAAGAATATTATTGCATTTAAAAAATTGTTTAGCATGGGAAGAAAAATTTCTTTATTTGCCTCCATGACTTTTGGTGCGGTGTTTATGGTGATCACTGCCATAAGCTTCCTCGCAATGGGAGTGAACGTGCCCGGCGAACTTGTTCTCGTCCTCTGCCTCCTCAGCTTGTTCGGAATGTCGGCTACAAGGTCAACAAGCAAACTCTTAACTGGAGAATCCTTCCCAACAAATCTTAGAGCAATGAGCTTTGGAATTTCTGGAATTGCCATAACGTTGGGAGGCGTCCTTTCCCCTCAGTTGGCCTTTCTGGGTTCTAGTAAGAATAATATTCGACTCATATTCACAGACACCTTTATTCAGCCTTTATTCATCAGTATTTTCAAATAACTTTGTGACTCTTTAAAGATTGGCCGGCCATTCCATTTTTCGTATTTGCCATTGTCAGCGTCGGGGGATCTCTGGTCTCATTTTTAATGAAGGAGACAATGGGACTCAACCTGGATGAGAACACGACCTGTGATGAAAAGGAAGATGAAGAAACCTAAAACTGAAACCAAATTTTTTAAATTCTTGATAACATTATCTGTATTAGTGTAATATTGAATAGAATACAAAAATTGAACGTGTAGATGAACGCGTTTAGACGGTAAATGCACACAAGTATTTACATATGCACTTATTAGATTCAGCGAAATAAATTGTGATGCACAAAATAAATAGAAAGTCATTTTTTGAATATTTTATTGATTCGATGTTAAAAATGAGCACGTAAAGTTTACTAACGATGTGAGAACATTTTTCAACATTGCTTTAATATTATCTGTCGCATCTTCCCAGTATGATTTCATTTCAGCACATCCCGAGTCTGAACCACTGCTGATATTGCTGCTTGAAGTCATGTTCATGTCCAAAGTTTCTGTGCCATTGTCGAACTGATCTTGAGTGGCGTTCAATTCCGTAAAATTTTCTGACCAAACATTGCTATCATTATACACTTTCAATGAGTTTTCGTTTTCCACGGATTCTGTGGGTTTCAGTTCCAAGTTTGGCGTGGTTAAGAAAGCCTTTTCCTTTGATTTCGTTATAACCAAAGTTCCAGTCTGCCAATATGATGGTAAAAGTGTTAAGTACATTATTAATACTATAATAATATCTACACATAAATGTACATATTTACTACGTTGCAAAACATACCCGACTGATCATTGGGTTTGTGTTGATTGCGCATTCGTAGACACCTTGGTCCAAATCCATGTCGATGCTTCTAATATAAACCGTACTTTGGGTGACATCGTCTGAGGTCTGCAACATTGAAATTGAAACCCTAGGATTTTTTGTAATTTTGAGCAAATTGACAGCAACAAAGGTTTCCTTTTGTTCATTCTTTTTGAGCCACATCACCTGCATTAAACAAATAATATTTGTAACGACTATGAAATGCCACTTAATTTATGAAGTCACATATACTATTGAATAGTAATGATATGCGCTACAATACCCTGAAACTTCCAAGATTAGCAACAGCACACGAAAATTCGACATTACTTCCTTCACCGATTGTAATGTTTTTTAGAGGTTCGACAAATTCTGGCTTTACAGAGTTTCCATTCGCACCAGGGGTGACAAGAATGATAACCTGCATTACCATCAAGAAGACCTGCAGCACAACGCAGTGATAAAAACCCATAATGTGACTGGATATATGGGCAACAAATATAATTTATTAAGTGCTAATCGTCAATAATTAATAACAAATAAATAACCAGATAGAAAATCAGACGGCAATAAATTATTGGACTTGATGAGCTGACACCAACTCGTGAAATATGTAAGTTAACCGTGAACCGTGAACAAGATGATAAACTTATTGCATTCTAAAGCCATTCCAATGTAACATCATCCAACTTCTGGATGCATGGCGGTGTCTGTGTTAATAATGCCGTTAATATCATCAATGAAATATGGATTATGAGAAAATCTCTTAATTTAGAACATGGACCAGAGATCGACCGATGCGCTATTGCATCACACACTTAAGTATACATACATACCATATATACAAATATATGTACATATATAGATAAATTCCACGCATATGAGCATTCTTTTCATTTCGTTGTAATAAATAAGATAGGAATGAGCGATGATGGTAATTTTTATTTATTCACACACCAAAGATATACTTGAGATGCACTTATTCTCTACGATAATCCCAATTTAAGATGTCCTGCGTAATGCATAATATGCCTGAGAGACAGGCATTCAGTAAGTTCACGACCACGACGATCCACAGTCCATACATAGTTTATATTTATACTATGATGGAATTTATGGCTTTGCTCCTTATGTATAAGAGGCAAAAAGATTTTGTCGGTGAACCACTGCATTGTAACCATTGGAAATGTTTAATGTCCAAGGAAGTCAATTAAAAATTATGGGAAATGATAACAAACATTTAATTTATGTTGCAATCTAAATTTCGAATGCACTAAATTTTAATCATCATGAATCTGGACTTACTCGAACTGACTTAGGATTAGTTGGACGTGTGTGTGTGGTGAGAGATAGGATAACATCATATCTAATACGGCTACTCCATCAGCCAGTGGTTGGGAAACGCTGAGAATTTGCAATAATGAGTCTGAAAAAGCCTATTCAGATTTTTGCACGGCTGAAGCCCATGTCTGGCCAGTCGGAACCATTTGTATGAATAACTTATATCATGTGCTACCATTTTACTATGACGTGTGTCTGAATAAATTATGCAATTCTTGATGCAGCCGTACGAGATCGAACCAATTGACATCGACATCACAAATGATGAGATCTTGGTTTTCAATATGAAAGCTTATCAAGCATCAGATTCAGAAGGTTATTATGCACACCGACCGCAAGAGAATCATCGTTACAGGTATTCCAGGAATGTACAAATTACATATGGAGCTGGCCTATCACGAGATGGTTAACATGCACACCGTTGTTGCTAGATATTCAAAAGTATTTGATTGTGATTCATCTCAAGAAGAAATATTTGAGCACATCTGCAAACCAGTTATTGATGGGTTAGTGAACATAGGTTAACTACCCCTTATTGTTTTCCATTGTTATGTTACATATTTATTTAAGATGCTTGTTTCAGGGCGATGGCTGGATATAATGGAACGATATTTGCATATGGTCAGACCGGAAGTGGAAAAACATACACAATGACGGGAAGTAGGGCAAATTTTCAAGAGCGTGGAATAATTCCAAGGACGCTTTCGTATATATTTCAGCGATTCCAGGAGGTAGTAATGAACTATTTATTTATTCACCTTGAAATCGGTCAACTTGTCTTCAAGCAGACTTTTTAACGTGTGAAAGATGGAGGACGGAATGGAACTTCAGGCCGTGTACATTTCCTACCTGGAAATTTATAATGAGAACGGCTACGATCTCTTGCACCCAAATATGGCCTCTGGAAAACTGGACGAATTGAAGCAAGCCCTACTTTATAGTTATCAATATTCTAAATAATCATTGTACTTTCTATTCCCACACTAATCAACTAATTTTAATACTGCACATAATTCAGGAAAGTCTCATTGATGGAAGACTCACAACAGCAAATTCATCTGAAGCATTTGTCGGTGAATCCGGTTGCAGATGAGGATCAAGCCATGCATCTTTTCTATATGGGAGAGCATCACAGGTTTTTAACTGAATTTTAGAAAACATATTCATTCCATTATTAAGCACGATTTTTAACTGTTTAAATCTTAAAAAGAACGATTGCTGAAACTCCAATGAATGAAGCTTCAACTCGATCCCATTGTGTCTTTACGATACACGTGCATACTCGTGAATCTCAAGGAACTCTTGTTCGTAGATCAAAGATTCATCTAGTCGATTTAGCAGGGTATAAAAAATAATAATTTTCTGCGTGCAATTAAACAAGCATTATATCACTTTGGAATTACATGTGGGCAGGTCTGAGCGAATAGCAAACAGCAATATTTCTGGTCAGCTATTCAACGAAGCTCGTCATATTAATTTAGGTATTTAAGTTTAATAGTTAAACATTTCTTTCTCCTGAGCAAATTGAATTTGATCTACTATCACTGACTATTTTTATAGCTCTTCACTACTTGGAGCAAGTAATTGTCGCTCTGGGTGAAGCTAATCGAACTCACATACCGTACCGTAACTCCATGATGACCTCGATATTAAGGGACAGTCTTGGTGGCAACTGCATGACATCAATGATTGCAACGCTCTCCTTGGAGAGTAGGAATATTCCAGTAAGGATATAAATATATGTACATATACTCATTTAATAAAAATAAAGTCATACAAGAACGTGCTACCGACTAATTTATGTAATAAATAATCGGTCGACTGTTTTTTAATCAAATAGGAGACAATGTCAACGTGCCGCTTTTCTCAGCGTGTTGCACTTGTTACAAATGATGCCACTTTGAACGAAGAGGTTGACCCCGACCTTTTAATTGCTCAACTCAAAGCTGAGATAAAAAGGCTAAAGTCCGTCATGTCCGTATCCTCAATCAAACCGGTATTTATTTTTCTCTTTCTCTCCCTGTCTCAAATTGCTACAATATGCATCGTGTTATTTCAGATAAGCGAGGATTCTACTCCCCTCAATTCCCAAGAGTTTCAAGAATGTTGCTCTGCTGTGCAAGAGTTTCTAATGGACCCCGACGACGACGCCCTTCTCACAATTCCCCCCGATATGCGTTTAGTTCAGCAATGTTTCCAGTGCTTAAAGTGTGCTTGCAACGAGACACATGCAAAAGTGACGAATGCCATGGAGGTGTACAAGTACGCTCCGGAGACGGCCCAATTGGTAGGAGATCAGAGGGTTCAGCAACTTTTAAAAACATTGAGTTCTCGGGAAAATGAAATCAAAGTCCTCTCAAAAATGCTGAAAGATACGCAAGAGAAGAGTAAAAGAGCCTTAAACGATCCAAATAACCTTCAGTCGAAAAATTTCGGCCAAGATATTGAAGCAAATTTAGCCCAATTTCAAGCAGTGACTGATACTCTAATTAAACCACCGTATTCACCACCATTGACTTCCAGGCCCTTGATAGGCAAGTGTATATCCAGTTAATTATATATTACTTCGGTTATTATGGTGCAGCTAATTGACAAATTCTGGTTCTTAATATTCCAGACAAGGAATCATTGATTCTTGAAGGATTCAGTGAAAGAAAGAAAACTGCTTGGGAAAATTTTCTTAGTTCGTGTCCAGATAAAGAACATCTGCATGCGACGAGAGAGAGCCTCATTAAATATCGCTCCGAAGTGGAGAAAATCAAGAGCAAAATGAACAAAGAGCATGAAACGCTGAGTAATTATTTTCAAATATTTATTATCTTGTGCAATTACAATAATCATTTAATTCGACGACAACATGATGACTTAATAAAACAAAATGTTTCTGATATTTTCAGACCTCTTGAAACGCTCCATGATGACTTCTGTTTCGAATGAAGAGATATCACTCAACAATTCCTTGTATAAAGAGGCCTGTGCTACTCATAATCAAACGTTGGCAAAAATGGATAAGCAATTGTTGGATGTAACTGAGGAAGTCATGAAACACGAGAACATGTTGAAATGCATGTATACGAAAATGGTCGAAGCGTTTGAAAGCATGTGGGACAACAGGGACGGAGGATATGTTAAAAATGGTGCCATATATTGTGAAATTAATGGTTAATTTTATAAATGTACAATTACATTTGTACTAACTAATTTATTTTACTATTTCGTTTTAGAAAGTCCATTAAAGCATGTTGCAGCCGGTGTATTCAAGCGGGTAAGTTTCCCAAAAATTTATTGCGGACATGTATTCTTTTACAATTTTAATCTCTTCAGATGGATTGAGTGTCACGAGATAAATATCATAATGCACAGAATAGTTTGCTGTCCAGTCTTTAATATCGACACATTGATACATATATCTCGATCACTGTCGATCCGAATTCATTCAGTTATGGAAATTATGACCGAGACACTCTCTCCAATCGGAAGGACAGGGTTGAAAGGATGCCCCCGGTCAAAAAATTAGATAATGTGTGATTTCCCTTCCTTTGGTTGCAGATCCTTTTACCCCTCGTCCTAACCGAAATATTTCGAGAAATGGAACATTTTGTCACCAACTGTCACCAACAATAACAATTATAGAGTGTCAAGTCCAGCTATTCAGTTCGTGTAGTAATGTCCTTCCAAATTAATGACAAATACTGTCTATTGTCGTTCATAATTTGACAAAATGAGTAAATTCTCGTATTTGAAAATCGAACAAAAATCGACAACATGGTGCACAAAAGTTTATTCTGCAGACAATAAACCATATAGTGCGTCTGCCAAATCTATTTGTTCCTACTATCTACAACATAGTTATATTTCAGTCCGACTCCGACATTGACTTCAAGAACAAGGTTCCTACTCTGAATGATCTTGGGCTGAACAAACCATTTTTGCAAAAGCCGTGGAAGGAAACAGAGGAAAATACTCCACCAAAAACAGCTTCATACTCAAAAACCAAGCAACGCAGAGAGGATGAGCCACAATCTAGTCGAAATAGTAAGCACTATTAATGCATAGAATTTATATGAGTTGTCTGCATGACAAATTACTTGCATTTTCAGAAAAACCGATTGAGCAATCCATAGAATCCTTGTTGGGAGATCGAATTACGCCTCGTGCCGCAACAGTAGCGTGCTCAGATCCAAATGATAACGACATAAGAGGTTCCTCATCAGCAGAGGATTTGGAAGCTCAAGACAAAAACAATAACGCCTTGTCAGACTGTCCAATTACTGGCGACCCTGTCACAGATCGTGAAATTCTTAATTTTATTCGAAAGCGGCAAGCAGCCTTTAAAAAACTACACGAAGCTGGTCGATCTTTGCAAGAAATGTCCACCACAAATTGTACGACTAGCGAAAAATCACCCCGAAATGAATCAACGCGTGGTGATAACCAATAAATCGCCCCATTATGACAATGCCTTATTTTATCAATTATGATAAGCTGAAATATGTCACACACCAACAGAGCCCGTTTTGTACAGGAATCATGCGAGTGTATGTATGTCATTATATTTTATGCGATTTTATGCACATTATTATGCGCTACTTTATGTTACTACGAACTATTACGTAGAGTTTTAATACACTATGCACAATCAGGCGAGTTCAAATTCGATGAATGAATGCTTACAATGCTATTTTTTGTTTAGACAAGTTTACCACAACGATCTATTGTTCAATTTGGTTAAATAGATTTCAGTATGCACATAATGATGTCCCAGTTTCTAATTACATCTATAATAATAATTGCTAGAACTTAAATAATAAGGTACAAGGCCATTTATGTAAACATATTTTAAAACCACAGACTATAATTTTTAGCGTATTCTTACCTTTGTACTCTACATGATGAAAAATTTCGAAATCATTTGCATCATACTGTGCAGTACTAACCGGATTGTTCTCCCTGCTGTAATTGGTGCTAATTTGTTTAAATATAAAATAATAAAATTTCTTTAACGTTTTTTTTGCATGATTCAATAATTGTCTACACTACAGGGAAGCTGGGGTCAAATGAGGAGTTACAAGACAATCGCATAAGTCAGTGTACAATTTCATCAGAAGTAAAATTAATGCTAGAACAATTAATTTAATATTGCGTAGAAATTACCCCACTTCGGATGGAAACTTATAATGAAAATATTAATGATTTGGAGGAATTAGTGAAGAAAACCAAACTGAATAAAGTGTAATAAAATATTTTTTATGTAATTGATAATTATATCATTGATTTGTTGCTGTCGTTTAGAATTTTAGCACCGCATCGACACATTGGCAGAGTGCCACAACCACCATACCCAATCTTTAATGATCCACCTTCAGGCCTTTCCGCAGATCAGAAGCATTCCAGCTCAAAGTGGACAGACGAGTGAGACTATTGAATTTAACCCATAAATATTTAGTAGATAACGTAAACCAATCATTGTAATGGCGTCTTATTTCTGTGAATAGCTCCCTATCGGCTCAGCGACACGCATTTATTTCCATTCTAAACGAACATCAACGACACCCAAAGCGATCAAAGCATGTCAGTGATGAAGACCGCTACATTATTCTATCGTTCGACCCAAAAACTAAGAAATATTCCATCAAGGAAGAATCTTCCGAATAGTTAATTAAATACCCTAGAAACTTTAGTAGACTTTTCTTCGCCGTCTGCAAAAATTGCAGTCTTTCTTTATAACTCGCTTATCGAATTTCAAAATTTCCCATCGGGTTCTTTATTTTTTGTCAGAATATACCCAAAGTCAAAATAAAGTGTATGATTCTATTTACATCCAGAAAATTTTAATTGATATTCATGCAAATTCTTCATTCCGATGATAAAATGGAGACCGAGTGGAAACACACCCACCCTGAACTGTTGCTGGATACAATCTCCCCTCCGCTGGCTCGAGCATCGTCCCCATTAAAGCAAAACTCGAACAAAGACCCAAGCAGGCGTCAAAGTCAAGTTTTGACCATTCTCAATACCCTTCACCCCGAACTTTTCATTCCTCATCGACGAATGGGATGGAATATGTACGAAGTGCACAAAACTTTTAAAAATGCATCTCGTTAAATTGCTATACTGCTCTGTGGCTGAATGAATTATTTTTATATTTTCCGTATACACAGGTTTGATACAATTCGCACGACGTATCCCTTCATTTACCGAATCAACGATGGCATGAGTAATAACATTTTACTACAAAAGGTTTGTGAGGAGCGTGGCTGGAAAGAGTACAAAGAAGAAGCAGCAAAAAGCAAGATTCCTTGGATAGAACGAGAACTTTATAGCAATTCAAATTGGAATCTTTGGTGAGTAAAGTTCACGATTTCTGACAATAGTTAACTTCAAATCTCTGGAGAAACTGTCAACGACTTACGAATACGTCACTGTCTTTACCGATTAAGGTGGAGTTACAATTTTTATCAGGGGAGCCCGTATAGGACGCTTAAATGTTGGCAATACACGAATCACAACCCTAGAGCTTTCCAATTTTGCAACAAATCATATCTTACAAGGTAAAAAAAAACAACACGCATATGACAAAAAACGCAGTAAATATTTAAATATGAATGCTGCAGTTTCCTGAAAAAAATGCGTGCAGAATTTGGAGAAGTGTATGACTTTAGTCCCAAAGGCTTTATAATGCCCAAGGAGTACGTCCAGTTCGTATCTGAGCACAGCAGAAGGCAAGAACGTGAATGTCTGGATGCTAGAAACATTGTCATGAGCTCAGAGATGATTTCTCCAACAAATTCCGATGATGTATTGAAAAACAAACAATCATTTGGAACAAGAACTAGTCGACATCCCGTTTGGATCATAAAACCCATTGGAAAATCTCAAGGAAAAGGAATCGTTTTGACCAAGGACATAGGGATGGTAGCAGCTGCTCATCGTTGTGTCGTACAAGAGTACATCACTCGTCCTTTTTTGATTGCCGATTATAAGTGGGACATCCGTATTTACGTACGCCAGTTCGAAATATAAATATGCGTACACTAAATATTTTCAAAGGCTCACTATATATTCGTAATTAATTATTCAGGTTTGCATCACCTCAACTGATCCCTTAGTTATATACATGTATCGCGAAGGACTTTGTCGATTTGCCACAGAGAAATTTGACCTGACAAATCTTGATGCATGTTTCTCTCACTTGACGAACGCCTCTCTAAATAAATTTGCTCCGGAGTATCCCACAAACAAGGAAATTATTGGTTCCGGATGCAAATGGTCACTAAAGCAGTTGAGAGCTTATTTAAAAAAAGGAAAGCAGCGCGATTGGCTTCTCTGGCAGAAAATCATGTCTCTTGTTTTGCTCACGGTCGTTGGCGAAGGTCTGAAGTCTGGCTACGTGTTCCCAGCCAATCGAAACTGCTTTGACTTTTTTGGTTTCGACATTTTGGTGGATGCCAACTTTCAGGTTTTTTAGCATGATATTTATGTATTTCCTTTACATCGCTTAACTAAATGTCGTTTGTAAATATTCCAGCCATGGCTATTAGAGGTGAATTATTCTCCTGGGCTGGGTGGTGACTGCGAAGTTGATGAAATTGTCAAGAAACCAATGTTGAACGAACTCTTTGATTTATTGGGTTTCCCAAATTCTTCGTCCGATGAACAAAATATTATGAGTCGTCCTTCGCCGTCAACTTCAAAGTTATCGCATTCAGCTCGTCAACCTCAGGAGAAGAAACATGTTCAATTCACTCCTAAACCCAAGTTGGCTTTGGACTGTACAAATATTGATGCAAGTTGCAAAGCAAGATTGAAACAGGCCTCGCTAATCTACTCACAAGATTTGGTCCTGGAATATTTCGGAAAACATTGCAGAGATCCGAAATTTCGTTTGAGTCCAACAATGAAGATTTTATACGAGAGAAAAATTTCTCATGCCAAAAGGAAGAAAAGATTTGACAAGCTTTTGAAACAAATGAGAAATAATGAGAAAAATTCCAAAATTGTGGACGAAGAACTCGACGAGGAAGGATCCGATGACGATTCTTCCGACAGCAGCAGCAACGTCAAAACGCCGTCAAGTTCCAGACCATCTTCTGCCAATGGAGAAAAATCGAAAAAATCGGACGACTCGAGCTACATTTATCTCCAACGTCAAGATTGGGCTGAAGCGCCGCTGAAAAATGGAAACTGGTGCCTTGTGTATCCCTGCAAAGCTTTCCCTTACCGTTCCCCATATCGGAGTGCACTAGGGGACTTGAGAAGTATCGTTAAATCTATTGAGCAATACATGGCGATTGCGGAATCAGTGGTGAAGACTTATCCTGATCAAAATGACGAGTTCTACGAGAGCAGAGTGAAAGCCTTATGTCGATGGAATATTGAAATATGGTGCCCCCCTGGCGTCGAAGATGACGAAACCATTGTTCCAATCATGCGCTAAATTTTTGGGAATGAATCAATCAATGCATCACTTAATGAAAATTGTATCGCATTGCATACATTTACATAAATATATGTATTAGTACGACAGATATAAAGCTAAAGTGAAAAGAAATTGGCTTTTTAATGATAAATGAATTGTTAATCATGACATTGATAAAATATAACATACACTCTGACAATTAGTACATACCTAGTAGTATACATATACATTACAAAAATTCGTTAATAATGTCAATGAATGTAATACTTATAAAATATAAAGTACACTAAATGGCTTGGGGACTTGTGGAGTAAAGGAAAATCCCGTTGTTTCGGACCCTCACAAGATTTTTAATCGACCTATCATTTAAAATATAAAATAATTCCTCCAATCTTCGTTGTCTGGGAACAGCTCCCTTCTAACCTGTCATGCCAACCAAGCTACCATTTCATGAGCCCCGAAACAGAAATATTTGCAACCTGTATAAATTCTCACCACAATCTACAGTCATTTATTCGAAAACAATACAACTTATATATAACGAACGTCCTTCTTCCTCTCTAATTAATCACCATTCGATATCATGACTGACGAATCTCAAATACCACCCCCATCTCAACCTCCAGCCGCACCCGTCATTTCTGGCGGACCTGGAAATGCTCTTAACGAACGGACTTATCAAGAAGTGGAGTATCTCAAACGCAACCTCGGTCCCATTTTGGTTGCTGCTTTGGCTGAAATCTGTATCCGCAGACCTGCTGACCCCATGTATATATGCAGTACAATACAATTCTCATTACATGCCTTATTGATTAATAGACTCGTACAAATTTAGCGAATACTTGGGACATTGGCTTCTCCGCTGGCGATACAACGAAGAACTGAAGCGTCGGGATGTACAGAATGCGCTGGAGGTCGTTCGGCGGAAAACTTGGAATGATGGCAGTGGGATGAGGAAGGCAGAAATAGGTCAACAGCCACCTCTCCTCCTCAACACGGTCGCTCCAGACGTTCCCCCCGCTCCTGAAACATTTGGCGAAGGGTTTATTCCAACTCATCCATACGCCGCTCCCGGATATGGAGGCCCCCTCACAGCAGACCAACTGAAAACAGTGGCCAATGTCGAAGTAGCTGCACCACCACCGCCACCGCCGATGACCGAGTCAACGTACCCACCTCCAGAAAGTGCTCCGCCAATGGTGGTCCCGGAAGGTTTGGTTCTACACATTTAATATCATAGTTGTTATCTCTACGTTTCAGAATCATAAAATGTTTTCTTATTATCAGTTGGTGGTGGACCTCCTTCAGCCGAAGAAGTGTCTTATCCTCCTCCAGCAACATCACAAGATGAGCAGCCGCAGCCAGGACGATCCTCTCAAGGAGCAGCGGCGGTTGAAGGGGACGGTGGGGCGAAGAAGACGTCCTTGATCAAAGGGACAGGGTCAGGAGAAAAGAAGGGGTCCTTGGTGAGAGAGACTGGTTCTGGGGAGAAGAAGGGGTCACTTCGAAGATCCGGTGGTGGGTCCAATGGTGGTCAGCCTGTTGCTGCTCAGCCCCCTCAAGACGCCGAATTCCAGCAAGAACCAGCAGAATAGGGAACAACGTGATGCTTCGTATAAGATGACTCTTCTAAAACGTTATGGAGTAAGATCGCTACAAAATAATTTTCACTCAAACTCTGCCAAATTTTCAATTGTCCGTTCGAATCTGTTGAGCAAATTGTATTCAAATAATTAATGGCGAAATAATAAAAACTTACCCTTTTGCCATAAAATAAACGAGTCAATATTTCTTCTCAGCCATCCCCTCAAGTGAGGGAGGCAAAATTGGCCGCTCGCTCGTTCACCAGTTGCCAGTTCACCTCACCACACGCACGACACACACGTGTTTAACGGCACTTATCTTATTTGTTGCCTTCATATTTCGACAATTATTGGAAAAATACGTTCCCTGTTAAAACTGGTAAGTACAGCGACAAAATTTATAGATATATAAATAGTTTCTATTGCAGAGTTAATTGTTTTGGCCTTTACTAACTAGGAATCGTAAATTACGATCGCAGTATATTAGAAACATTTCAACTTATACATATAGTATATATATATATATATACTAAGATAAAGTTAGTAGTGTTTGGCTAAATAGTTTGATCGGGTATTAACAAATGTTTTTTTTATTGACAGGATTGATTGAAAAACAGCAATACCGAATATGGGGAGGAAAAGACCATTTAATAAACTGTCATTCCTAATAGAATGTGCAATCGAGTTCGAGAATGAGGAAGCCCAACGTAGAGCAGAAGAACAATCACGGAGTCAGGAGCCTCCAGAACAGTCAGATTCGAAAGAGGAGGACGAAAAAGAACCGGTCAAGCCAAAGAGTAAGAGTAGGAGGAACAAGGCGACTGGAGTTCCAAACTCGTTTAAAGAGACGTCGTCAGTAACTTCAACTGATGAATCCATTCCAAGGCATCAAATGGAGTTATTAATGGACGTGGCGTCATCCGAAGACAATTCTTCAAAAGTTTCACCACTTTCACCATTGGTCGAGTCAACCGTAGACTGTTCTGATGCTATCATAGTGCAATCAATGGAACCTTCCTGCGAAGGAGTGTCCATATTGCCTCTAACCACAAAAACAATATCTGAGTTTTCCTCTGAACGGTGCAGACGCAGAGCAGATGAACAATCATTAAGCGACGAGCTCCCAGAGCAGTCATATTCGAAGGAGGATGACGAAAAAGAACCGGTCAAGCCAAGGAGGAGGAGGAATAAGGCGGCTAGAGTTCCAAACTCGTCCTCATCGGTAGCTTCAACTGATGAATCCATTCCAAGACATCAACAGGAGTTATCAGTGGGTGTGGCGTCATCTGAAGACAATTATTCCGAAGTTTCACCATGGGATTCATGGGTCGAGTCAACGGTAGACTGTTCTGATGCTATCTTAATCCAATCAATGGAACCTCCCTACCAAGGATCGCCTCTAATCACAAAAACAATATCTGAGTTTTCCTCCGAACGGAGTAGACGCAATATAATCAAATCTATGCAGTCCATCGCATCAGATTATTCAGATAATGAGAAGAAATCTCATCCCAATATTGACACAAAGCAGAATTCCAGCCAGATAGCAGTAGTTTCTGGTTTTAAAGCGTGTGTACTTTGTGATGGACGTTTTCGACCTATTTCATGCGACTATAGCAAATCGTCCATTTCCATTGGAGGCTTAAAACGAAGATTTTGTGAATACTTTGACATTAACACGGCCGACTTTAATCCTAACCTTGATACATTTTTACGACGAGACAAATATCCCTTTTGTCCTGAATGTCTTGCCTTGGTAAACAATCTTTATCAGCGAGCGGAACAATTCCGACGAGCTGTGTGTTCATATAAGGCTGCTAAGGCCAGCGTTCTCAACAAAGCGGTCAATGCGGCCGAGCAACGGTCGAAGGTGGATGACGTAGATGCTGATCCGTACTACTTTGTTAAACTTAAAGTGCTGCAAACCAATTTATTGTTAGAGGACGATCCTGCTCAGAGTATCACAGGAGATGAAGATATCAAACAGATTATCAGTGAAGAGTTGTGTCTCTACCAAACCTCGGGAGAGCAAGAATTTCTAATGGAAAAACCGGTTGATTTTGCTGGGGGGAGTGAAAGTGATGCTACTGTAAAAATACAATCCCCCTCGCAGACAGCGGCGATGACATCACCTTGTCCTAAAAGTATACCGAAAAGGAAGCGACCAAGTTGTGATAGCTCAGAGGCTCGTCGTAATTTTACTAGTCCTCCTTCCACCGACGGTGTAAACAAATCTGCAGAAAAAAAATTGTTAGAAAAGTTAGATGAGGCGAGTACAGATAATGTGTCACCATCAAGCTTGTCACCACCGGCAAGCAAGTTTAGAAAATCGGTGAAGAAAGTTCGCTCCAAAGAGGTTCATTGTCGTCCGGAGCTTACCTTCCCAAGAGGTAATTTGTATACCATATTTATTACTACGTACGTGTATCGTATCCTGTCTACTTGGGTATTTGTTAACTAATGTAACTTATTTTATTTATTTTATTTAGGTAAACATAAACGCAAAGAACCCATCATCGATTGGTTGAAGGAGCGCACTCATAGTCTTAAAAGAGGTGTGACAACTTACAAGACTTTGATAACAACTAATTTACAGAATATTCAAAAGAAACCTCAAGCGAAACTTGTGGTCCGAGAACTTTTTGCGGATTCGTCTGAATCTGAATCTGACTCTGATTAAATGACGGCAATTCAAATACAAACATGACCATAAATGACACCATAATACATAATCATTGTTAGACTTATTATTAGCGCAAGGATATTGTTTACTGTAGATTATTAGTCTATTTAAAATGTAATGACCTATGACCTACATGAAAATTTAGATTCATAACATTAAAAACGACTAATTACTGAATACCATTGCTTCATAAGATTTGTAATTTCACTTCATGTGATTGACAGCGGGCTACGATGCCATAAACTTGATTCTCATCATTTCATTTCGTAAAGGTCCACCTGTGGAGTGAGTGAACTTGGGCGTGAAATTCTTACCTTTACTAATCATTATAATCACTTCACATACGTTGTAACAAAAAATGGTTTATTGGAGCTAAATCTGGAAAAATATGAACCGTTACACTCGCCGAAGGGAGAAAAGGTACGTTCTGTCAGTTCCGACTTCCGAGATGGGTAGACCAACCAGGCCTATATAAGAGACCAACGTCTTCTGGATTATTTACCACTTTCAATTTCGTTCACCTTTGGACAAGACACGTACTTACTGTTACTGTAATTTCTCATCCGAAGCATTTTTTTGCTTTGCAAACTGTAAGTGATTTTCAATCAGATCGATCTGTCTCACTTTTAAGGTTTTTAATAATTTTCTATAATGTAGTTTCAGATGGCTTCTCTCCTCTTGGTATCTCTCCTGGTCATGGGCAGCACCATACCGTTCTGCTCCACATCTCCTCCACGTACACCCTCAATTCGTCACCAGCATCATCTGGATATCAGTCATGGTGCCAAGGCGTTGTCTGTTGCAGGACAGAAATTCAATCCACTCTTCCAGGATGCGAAAACCACGGGGAACAACCTTCTTCAGAATAATAAGGAAGCTAAGGTAGGCAAATTTGCGAAGGGCTACAACTGTCCGATGGGGGCCAATAGCAATGGCGATGGTCGGGCAATCATCCACGCGGATCCTTACGACTGCAACAAGTATTACTACTGTGTTTGGGGGATCGCTAAGATATCGGAATGTCCGTCATTTCTTCTGTGGAGTGACCAGATTAAGGCTTGTGATTGGTTTTGGAATGTAGATTGCAATAATAGAGGTAGAAGATCTTTCTTACCTTTTTAAACATACGAATTTATGTTCTTATTATATACATAAATGTAGACATTTGTATTTGTGGTTATGTATGTATGGTGCTAAAATGTAAATAAGTTTTGTCTTCAGTGACTTTTTTATAGTATAATAATTAGTAAAGTATGAATATGTAATAAACATATATATGTTGCAGTTATTACGAATTTTATCAACGTTAAACATAAATTTATTTAAACAATGAAATAAAAGCATGAATGAAAATATCACGACTATTTCTGCATACAATTATTTATCACTCCAGATTGAAGAACAAAATTATAAGAGAATTTGTACGCGAGATCGCTATACTGAGAGATATATTATATATTTAGAAAACTGTCAGGCAGGCAGGTCACATAAAATTCCGCTAGAAATGTATTCCCATTTAATTACCTGTATCATTGTCGTTAAGCTGTTTGGCACCCTCTTTTTTTACAGGTTTTTATGACCAATGTCAACAGTGCCAATGCATGTACCAATCTGTCAATAATAATTGATGCCGTATTCTCAGGATTATGACGAGAAAACTGTCCCAACGGGCCTATCCCAACTGCCAACCTTCCTCATTGTGTACCTTTTCATGATCATTCATGGGGCGGTACCCTGGGTTTGGCTTCACCGTTATAAACATTGATTGACAACTGGAGCCATAAAGTGGTCGAGGTATTTATTTTTACTTTATTGCACCAACAAAGTCCTCGGGCCGAAAAGTCATATAACGATATTTATGTATAAATACACTATAGTCAAAACCTAGACCAAGACCACTTTTTATTAGCCCGAGTCAGGGCTTATGGAACCGTCATGTCCGTCCGTCTGTCTGTCTGTCCGTCTGTCTGTCCGGCACGATAGAGCCAAAACGGCTGAACCGATTGACTTGAAATTTTTACCACATGCATATTGGACAAAATTAGGAAACGAGTTCGAAGATGGGCGAAATCGGTCCAGTGATTGACCGGTGGGGGTCATCGGAGTAGGTGGGGTCTTATGCACCAAAATTTCAAAATTGTCGTAGAAAGCTGAAATTTGGCACAGAGGTTGCTAATGGCTCCTACGAGATAAAAATGACTTCAAGTTGGAAAAATTTTCATCTTGAGCGACCCTATGGGGTGACCCATACCGATTTTTAAAAACCATCATATCGAACTGAAATTTGGTGGAGAGGTTGCTTATGGGGTTTAATGAAAGAATATGATATGATATTGGTAAAATTGTTATCAGGAGCGACCCTATGGGGTGACCCATACCGATTTTTAGAAATTGCTTTAAAAAGATGGAATCCGGCACAATGATACTTAATGGCTTCTAATTAAAGACTATGAAGTTAAAAGTGAGCAAAGTGCAACCAGAGTGACCCTATCGGGTGACCCATACTGATTTTTCAAAATCGTTATATTGAGCTGAAATTTGATATGGAGGCTGAAAAAGTGAAAACCACTGTTGGATAGTACATGCATACAGCTTAGAACTTCATGATGTTAAAGAAGCCCACTGGTCATGGTGGTCAAGGCACATGATTTGTAACTAATTCAAAAATTTGGTACCAAATAGTAGAAACTATCTAACAAACTTTTAACCATCCACAACACGGAAGTTGGTGATATTATGTCGGTCGGAAAAAAATTAGAAGTGGGCTCTGACTTATTGATTCAGGGACTATGTCCCTGACTCGGGCTATATGGAGTCTGCACTGTAGGTTTTATATCTAGTTCCAGCCATAAGTGAATGAACTTTTTTCAATTTTATGGTTCATCACTTGATCACATATTTTAAGCACGAATTAAGTCCAAATAAAAAAATAGCTTACAATTTGTCTGAATTAATACCTTTAGTCTTTTATTATTATAGCGTAGCGTGACATACACAAAAACAATCATATCAACTTGATAGCCGTATAAACAATAAACTTTCTTCGTATTGGTTGGTACGTATGTAGGTTCTTCTAACAATCAAATCGATTCAAGTCATGCAGCACGATACACGATGTTGAAGGAAATGTTGAACAAGAATAAGAATAAAGTGACAAAAAGTCATACGATCGATACAATTTATTTCAATTACGCAGTAGCTTATCTAGTCAGACAAGTGAAACTGCAGATTTCGAGGCATTTTAATAGGATGTTCCAACACCGAATTGGGACTAACTAACTAGACTACAATTTTTAATTTATGCTTATGCGTAACATTGTTTAGTCAATTTTCTTTGGGATGGGAGGATAAATGCTTGTGAAGATACTCTCTCTGAACCCTAATCCTGGAGGATGTTGTGGACCAAAATAGAATCCAGTTGGTCGGCGTGCCCCATTTAAGACCACCGTGGGACCCGTATAGTAGCGACCAATTATTGACGACCCCCGTTTGAGCTGTTTGGTTGCGGCGAGGTATCTCCAGCATTGGTACCAATCATCGTATGATTTTGTGAATGGGTAATGTCCAACAGCAAGGCTTGAATCGTTGACAGCCATTACGCTTGCTACGACACTAAACTGGTAGGTAAATGAACTGGTCACCACCTGTAATTTATCAAGCAACAAGGGATTCGTGAGCAATTTATTCAAAGTAGTATTATTAAAAATATAAACGTACATTGGAGAGCATTACGACACCGCCTTCAATGCCTAACGTGTCCTTATTCCCACAAAAGTAGCTCTTGACAAGGTAGGCCAGAGAAGCAGATAGGGAAATGTAAATTACATCTCCGACAAGGCGTGGAACCAATCCACTAAAAAATCCTACAAGAAGCATGTTGCAAATTATATATTATTTACACTTTTTTCATACACAAATGTCATCAGTAAATCTAGAATTAATCATAAACGTACCCAAAATCCCTTCTTCTCGAAAGATTGTCGATATGGCATCAAAGATTGTGCTAAGACATTGAAAATAGTTCAGACGAAAGTTGAAAATCATAACCACAAAAAAAACTTTGCCAGGAACTTACCTGTACTTTGTCTCTCTTCCGACAAACTGAGCCATAGATCTGACAGCAATAACGTAAAATGGTTGAGAAACAATAGTTGCAGAAGCCACAGAAATAATTTCCCATCCAGTGTTCGTCATTAATCCAATGAAATCGTTAGCAACTTGAGAACCACGGACTAGCGCCCCTGACCGAGCCGAGCTAAGTCTCAAACGGTCTCCTCCACGGGTTTGATTAGTTTGTGACTCATCTCGTTGGAACGGATTTTGAGCCAAGACCTTGCTAAACACTGCGCTGGATACAATACTTTGACAAATTCGAGGTCCGAGCCCTCTGTAACAGCCTAGAAATCCATCCACTGACTTGATGTATTTCACTATAAAAAATATACCAACCAATGTAATTAATTATTGTGTTGTTGATTAGTTATGCAACTATTTATTTAGTGCTTACAATATTGAAATGTATTCGGCAATGCAAGATATGGAGACCCAAAAATAAAGGTTCTCTCAGTAGGTGCAAATGGTTCGTATCCCAGCTGTACGAGAGTCCTGGCAAAATCCAAAGGATGGCCGAGGGTCTGAAATGCAATCTGTTTCGCAGTAACTGCCATCGCATCTGATTTGACCCAATCTTTGAACCGGTCCACTTTTGTATGAGCCTGGGTTTGGGTTTCCCATTCCTGCAACACAGATAAAGATACATAATTATACTTGGCCTTCCAGATTTATTTATTGGATAATCCCTTGGGCATTGTGGTTTCAAATAATTATTAGCAAGATTTGTTATCCGCACCATAATACTGCTGACCGACTTTAATTTATTTGAAATATAGTCCAAATTTAAAAAAAATATGTGACTGCCGAATGTTGTGTCAGCTTTTCGTGCTTTCGCCGTGATAATAGGAACGTTGCTTGACACTTTATAATTATACAATGTTAGTGTTACTAACGTTGTCAAGCAACCTTGGATAATACGCGTCCGAGAAACTAAGTACTAACTGCTAAATACTATGTTTGTTGAATAAAGTAATTGGTGGTAACTTACGTCCATTGTGCGAGTATTCTTTGGAATATATTGTCAAGTGCAGGATATGAGGATATGACGACCAAACGAGGCCTTGGAACTAATGGTTGCCCACAGATTTAAGGTTAAATACTAGCGATATATAGTGCTGAACTTAATTATTCCTGCCAGCGCCCAATCGCACAACAGATAAATTGTTCGATTGAATACAAAATATGCCGTGTGTTTTACGACTCTTACAAAATGTCAGTCGAATTTGAGCCGCTCTATTTACCAGTCCCTTTTCGCCCCACTCCTCCAGATGTACGTTGTCTCAAATTTGATCAAGTGAAGTTGAAGTGGCTGTACCTACCGCCTACCGAACAACTTCCTACCGCCAGCCGCCGCCTATCTTCCTACCTTCTACACCCGCAGACATTTCTACAAAAATTTGCACACCGACTTGTGTCAACCTACCACGAATCCTAATACCCCAAAATTTTAATTTTACTCTAAAACATTTTAAAAAATTTCGGAATTAACTAAATGAGTAAACGAATAAAACAACCCGTATGGTTCCGTTTCCTCGAGCGGAATTTCAATCCACCGCCTCCATGCTTACTTCTGTTACCGACCACGCCCACTGCCATGATTTACTGCGGACCCACTTCCGTCAGAGTCCGGTCAAACTAAATAAAATCACAGTTACCGACCAAAATTCTTTCCCCTCCCTTCTAACTGCTTCTCCTTGATCCACCTACTTTGAGTTAATTTTGGGAGAGAGTAGTAGTAGTAGTAGTAATTTATTTCAGATTGATTTGGCGGCGGCTTTTACAATCATAATAGTATTTAAAATTAATATAATTAATGTTGATGTGTCTTGATCCGTAGTGCTCTTAATATATGATAAAGCTAAGACTTAAAAGTAGGTCTTACACTAGTTTTACGCAAGAAATTTTTAGTAAGTTTAACAATTCTGGGATTGTGCAACAACTTTGAGGAAGAGATAGGTATTTTTCATAGTGATCTCATTTGGGTGTGAAAACAATGATACAAAATCAGTTTTATTTGGTAGAAACTAAATTCTCGCTTCGCTATTTCACTTCGCTATTTCGGGCATTGAAAAGGACATGTACAATTGTGGGCGATGGGATTAAAGCGGCTGGTTTGGTGGGGGCTGAATGGGGCGTCAGGGTCCTTGTGGGCCGAATGGGACGCTCCTCTCGTCGCGTTATCTCCCACGTCACAGGGGGGTAGCACTGAGGAGACACGGGAATAGTTATGTCTACTCGCTTGGCTTTACAGTACTATGGGCACTGTCTCTTACTTTGCACTCCAACTTTTTATGCGCGATCTTTTCACTACTAAAAGTACGCTATTGTTTTGACTCACACACAAATTATGATCGAAACTTGTCCAAATGAAATGTCTGGGAGATGTGCACGAAAGTATCTTTAACTCTACAAAATAACCAATTTATTTGAGTCGGTGGTGGGGACAAAGACCGACCAACTTGCCAAACTGGGCGCCCGACTCCTTGAACTCTCCTCCCACTCTGCGTTTTTCCTCCTTCGGGCGTCCATCTCTACACCCCGCCTTATTTATTTTTTGCGGTGTGCCCCGACTTGGCGGAGATTCGACGCCCTCACCCTGTATGACGCCAAACTCAAGGAGTCAATGGAGGGGATCCTCAACTGCTCACTTTCCCCGCAATCTTGGCTTCAGTCCTCCCTTCCCGTCGGCGATGGCGGCTTGGGGGTTAGGCACGCTGTAGACGTGGCGATTCCGTGTTTTCTCGCGTCCGCTTACAGTGTCCTCCCCTTTGTAGAACGCCTACTCCCGCCATACCTCCATGGCACCGACACCGCATTGCAAGAAGGAGAAGAGCGATGGAATCCAATGGGACCCGCAGAATTTCCCCCGCCGGAAGTTAGAGGTTTTCAGGCCTCGTGGGAGGTGCCTCAGCAAGAGGCCGCTATCAACCACCTCAGAAATAGAGCATCTACTCCAGAGGATAAAGCTCGTCTCCTTGCCATGGGACAACCGCATGTGGGGGCGTGGCTCAATGCCGTACCTTCGCCACAACTTGGGACGCTACTCCCAAATGAGACGTTTCGCATCGCTTGTGCCCTCCTTCTTGGATGCGACGTCTGCCACTCCCATAAATGTCCATGCGGAGCTATGGTCACATCAAAAGGCTACCATGGCCTGAGCTGCAAAAGTAGTGCGGGGCGTCATTCCCGCCATGCCGCAGCAAATGACGTGATTTGGAGAGCTCTTCGTTCCGCCGGAGCCCCCACCATTAAAGAGCCAGCCGGTTGTTCCCGGCCAGACGGGAAGCGCCCTGACGGACTGACATTGGTTCCATGGGCAAGAGGGCGGCCCCTGGTATGGGACTTTACGTGTGTCGACACTTTTGCACCGTCTTACCTCCCCCAAACCTGTGTTCATCCTGGTGCGGCAGCCGAGAGGGCGGAGGACAGGAAGACAAAAAGGTACGAAGACCTTCTGGACAGATTCCTCTTTGTTCCCGTAGCCGTTGAAACAACTGGAGTATGGGGCAAGGAGGGCCTGTCCCTTATCAAAGAAATAGGGACAAGGATCACAGCCCTCACGGACGAGAAGAGGGCAACGAATTTTCTCATCCAAAGAATTAGTATTGCAGTTCAACGCGGAAATGTGGCCGCGATTTTAGGATCTCTGCCAGCAGGACGAGAGCTGGATGAGGTTTTTTATCTTTAGGACAACAATTAGAGGAATTTTTTTTAAATATTCAGATAGGGAAATTTATGTACGGCGCTGGTCGTTTAGCTTTTTCGAAATAAATGTATGTAAAATGAACATGGAAAGAACAATAATAAATTTCTTCTATTTATTTATTTGACACTTTTTCATGGACAAACCGAATTATTAAATGGTTAGATAAGTATTATTATTTGAGGAAATATATTTTATTATGGGTTGAAATTTACTCTAAAGATGGCTGACGCAGAAGGCGTGCAGGCTACAAAATAAGGAGGATGAGGAGCGTAGTTTAGAGAGGATGTTCTCCCCTCAAGTCCCCGGGTCCTCGAGTGTCCGAGAGACGGAGAGAGAAGCGTCTTTTTACTGTTGTGCTTGGCCACGGTTGCTTCCCTGTACCGAGTGGTAGGATGATCGGGTGCGGTATGCCGAGTCCCATTACAATGTCTTCGATATATCCAGACGTACAGTGTTTAGATGTTGGTTCGACAGATTCATCATAAAAATTTCGTAGTTTGGGAGAGAGTAAAAATGGCCACCCTCCTTGCACGACTGGCTGCACCCCCAACTACGGAGCTACGGCAAGCAAGGAAAGAGTCAGTTCTCAGTCGTGCTTGCATGTGGCTAGTCAGTGTGTGTATATGCCCGTCATGCACATAGTGGGACAGAGCGAGTGAGTTGAGCTGAGTGGGAGGAGCCGTACGTTAAACTCCGTACCACACCTTCTCTCCCTCCTCGTTCCCTTGTTCGCTCCCATGCAATCCCAATGGTGGTGATGGTCGTGCGATGGGGGAATCTCACCACGGGCTAAAAAAGCAACTTGGGCGTGGGCACCCCACATCCACTTTACTCGCAAGTCAAATGCCTCGTCAGTGGCGCAATCGTCGCCAGAGGGTGGGTGGGTGGTGGATGGGTGTGGGTGGATGGCAAACGTGTCACTTTTGTGGGAAGCCAAAATAATGGTGATAATGCAAAAGTGAGTGGGATGATTGTATAATGGAAATCAAGTGGGTGGTGGTGGTCACATTATCGGTTGGATATTTTTTAGGGTCATTTTTAGAAATCTCAACCTGCCTCTGATTTGACTGACGGTATGAAATTGGAAAAGTCACTGGGATAAAACAAAAATTTAGCTTTTAATAGCGTAATGTACATTTTATAACCCACAGATCTGTAACTGTCTCGACCTTCGACTTTGTCTCAATCGTCTCATTTAAGATTTCATGAAGATCGAGTAGGCAAATATACCGTTTCAATATTGCCAAATGTGATTCCTCAGTCATGTTTGAAATGCATTTTAGTTTCGTTGATGATCCCATAATCTTTATTGTTCCAGAAGATAAACAATGATAATAGTGACAATGATACGAGATGTTACTGATACAAAACTGGAAAAGTTGAGACGAGACAAATTGAGACGAAATAAGACCACATGTCTGTGAAGCTGTAGCCACCGAACAGCTTCCTACCGCCAACCGCCGCCTATCTTCCTGCCGGCTACCCGAACAAACATTTCTTCAACAACACTTGCACATCGACTTGTCACCCTGCCCCGTAACCTAATACCCCAAAATTTTAATTATCATTAATGGCAGCGAAGATAAGCTCAAATCCTTCAGTTTAGTGTGTACGAATCGTGTATACAAATGATGTTTGAGTTCAAAACTTTGAGATGGAATATCTCAGCCTCCTGAAAGAGTTTGGCTTATCTCCGCTGCGGTCCATAGTCCCTTCGGGACGACTGGACCCCGAAGGTAATTTAGTCGCCGAATCCAAAAAAATATCAAATTTAGCATATCTCGTGACCGTTTCGCGCTACGACCTTGCAATTATTCGCCACGTCATAACTTCGCCATTTTTCATCCGATGTGCATGAAATTTCGACACAATCTCGTCCATGGTGTGGTCGACAGGTCGCCCAACGAAGTTCATCGCCATGACCTTGTTTTCGCCAAATTTTCGCCAAACTTTGTCGACAATTTTTGCAAATAACTAAATACTTATTTTAGATGAAGATATTGACGCCGTAGCCGAAGCAGTTCAGCCTGGGACAAGAGCTGGGGAGGTGGTGCAAGGGGATTTAGTTCGTCTTTTTGCAGCAGAAAATTAGTTAATAAATAATTGTTGATTAAAATGTAACTTATATTATTGGCTTAAGTATATATAAGTATGCATTCACGTATATTCAAGTTAGTTTGAAGTTTGGTTAAAAAGTTTCACTGGTAAATTTATTACATCAATAGCTTAAATAAAACCCATTTTAACCAAGAACAACTGAATTCAACATAATTTTAACTTGTCCTCATAATTTAATCATAATTCTCAGCTAAACTCTCGGGATAACTTCGAAGGTATCAATCCAAGCCTTTGTTCAAGCTCAAAAATTTCTAATTGTTTTTTAAAATTATCCAATCGCAACGCCTTCGTTTGTTCTTTCAACTTTTCCAACTTGATCTCTTCAGCTTCATCCCCTGAAATTGCTTTCCGCTTCATCAAATTGGAAACATTTTTGTTGTGAGTTTCTTGTGCTGTAGTTTCTTTGGGGAAGATCCTCTGGGCGGGGTCAAAACATTGGATATCGACCACTGGCTGGAGATGTCGAGATGTCGATATGTCGAGATGCTGGCTTGGATGTACCGGACGACTCGGGAACATCGAATCCATTGATTATGGCAGATTCTCTCCCAATAATATCTAGTACTGCGTTGTCGAGTTCAGTTAATTTCATGTCCTCTCCTCCTCGGGATCCGGTTTTCTTTGCATTGGCGACCTTGTCCTTTAGAGAATGCAAAATTAAAAACAGAATTCGATGAATTATTAATAATTATTACCTACCACCGCTCGTTTTCTCCAATTTTGCCAAGTTGTGTCGCGGAGGTAGTCGGGTCCTTTGTCGCCAGTACTCTGAGGGCCTTTGCTTCCGTTGAAATCTCCTCCCAGGCAGCATCCTTGTCCCTGTTTTGCCCGAGTCAGGGCTTACGTAACGGTGACGTCCGTCTGTCCGTCTGTCTGTCTTGCGATAACTGTCGTAAAACTAATCCGATCTACTTGAGATTTTGCACATATGTAGTATGGGTCAAATGAGGAGCTAAGTTCGAAGATGGGCGAAATCGGTCAAGTGGTTGACCGGTGGGGGTCATATAGGTGGGTGGGGTATTATGCACCAAAATTTCACAATGGCCGTAGAAAGCTGAAATTTGGTGCAGAGGTTGATAATGCCTTCTAATAGAGGAATACAAAGTAAAATTGTAAAAATTTTCATCTGGAGGGACCCTAGGGGGTGACCCATACCGATTTTTAAAACTTAGCAAATCAAGCTGAAATTTGGTACATAGGTTGTTAATGACTACCAATGGAAGAATATGAATTGAAATTCGACACATTTCCACCTGGACAGACCCTATGGGGTGACCGATGCGGATTTTTTAAATCGTCGTATCAAGCTGAAATTGGGTAGACAAGTTGGTAATAGCTCATAATGGGACAATATGAAGTAAATAAGAAAAATTTTCATCTGGACGACCTTATTGGGCGACCCAATAAGGTGACCAGGGAGACAAATATGTGTGCACCAACAAATGTATGCGAACCTAGTGACCCGCGTGGCTGGAATTTGCATATGTTGCGTCTAATATTACTAGCATAATATCCTGAGAGTTTTAGGAAAAACTATACACTCGTTTCAAAGTTATGGTCAGTCGATACTGTGACCAAGGGAAAAAAATGTGTGCACCTACACAAATTTAGTGATAGCCGATTACATTTAGTGATAGTGGATAAATCTTGGTACATGGGTTACTAAAGGCTCTTAATTGAAGAATTCGAAGTTTTAAAAATTTTAATTTGAAAACAGACTTACGCCTGACTCGGGCTATATCAAGTCTGTACTGTAGGTTTTACCTTATTGTTAAAGTACTAGAGAGCTTCCCGAAGAGCACATCTGTCTTCTCCAGAATCCGAAATAGGATGGCAAGCTTAGAAGGGTCGGTGGACCGTGGGGCCATATCGCGACGATAACTTGGTTAAAAACTGGGAGAAATGTGGTGATGAAGTGAAGAATAGCACACGCGAACGAGAATATTTCAGTGTGATTGTTGAAATATGCACAAATTTTTAAGTTGTTATGGGAGATGATGACAGGCACCTGTCAAAGTTTGACAGAGGTCCAGCACTTGTCAAATTGGACCGCAGCGGAGATAAGCCAAACTCTTTCAGGAGGCTGAGATATTCCATCTCAAAGTTTTGAACTCAAACATCATTTGTATACACGATTCGTACACACTAAACTGAAGGATTTGAGCTTATCTTCGCTGCCATTAATGATAATTAAAATTTTGGGGTATTAGGTTACGGGGCAGGGTGACAAGTCGATGTGCAAGTGTTGTTGAAGAAATGTTTGTTCGGGTAGCCGGCAGGAAGATAGGCGGCGGTTGGCGGTAGGAAGCTGTTCGGTGGCTACAGCTTCACAGACATGTGGTCTTATTTCGTCTCAATTTGTCTCGTCTCAACTTTTCCAGTTTTGTATCAGTAACATCTCGTATCATTGTCACTATTATCATTGTTTATCTTCTGGAACAATAAAGATTATGGGATCATCAACGAAACTAAAATGCATTTCAAACATGACTGAGGAATCACATTTGGCAATATTGAAACGGTATATTTGCCTACTCGATCTTCATGAAATCTTAAATGAGACGATTGAGACAAAGTCGAAGGTCGAGACAGTTACAGATCTGTGGGTTATAAAATGTACATTACGCTATTAAAAGCTAAATTTTTGTTTTATCCCAGTGACTTTTCCAATTTCATACCGTCAGTCAAATCAGAGGCAGGTTGAGATTTCTAAAAATGACCCTAAAAAATATCCAACCGATAATGTGACCACCACCACCCACTTGATTTCCATTATACAATCATCCCACTCACTTTTGCATTATCACCATTATTTTGGCTTCCCACAAAAGTGACACGTTTGCCATCCACCCACACCCATCCACCACCCACCCACCCTCTGGCGACGATTGCGCCACTGACGAGGCATTTGACTTGCGAGTAAAGTGGATGTGGGGTGCCCACGCCCAAGTTGCTTTTTTAGCCCGTGGTGAGATTCCCCCATCGCACGACCATCACCACCATTGGGATTGCATGGGAGCGAACAAGGGAACGAGGAGGGAGAGAAGGTGTGGTACGGAGTTTAACGTACGGCTCCTCCCACTCAGCTCAACTCACTCGCTCTGTCCCACTATGTGCATGACGGGCATATACACACACTGACTAGCCACATGCAAGCACGACTGAGAACTGACTCTTTCCTTGCTTGCCGTAGCTCCGTAGTTGGGGGTGCAGCCAGTCGTGCAAGGAGGGTGGCCATTTTTACTCTCTCCCAAAATTAACTCAAAGTGGGTGGTTTTCAACGGTAACGTTTTTTTCAAAATCAATTTCGTGCTAGGATCGTGTCGTAGTGTAGCTTATCCTGTGCACAAATAACACTATTGATGATAACATCTGTATATTAGTGCGTAAGTGGGTGGCTTTAACATAGTAAAGTTGGTGGGGCTTCTAGTTCTCACAGAAATTAATTTCCCATTCGAAAATATTAAATTATACGGTAAGTTTGTAGAAATAAAACGATTAAAAAACTAATTTTCTACGTATGAAATGATATTTACTGGTATATTTTGTGTACTAGGTGGATATCAAAGCTGATTAACTCGGGTTCCTATTTAGACACACGACGTGTTAATTGTAGACCTGGGTGGGTGACATCATAACATGTCCTGCAGACCTCCTCAATTATATCCCAATCCGAGAGGAAGGCCAAATGCTCAAAGGTCAATGACGAATAATTTACAATTACTGAGGGCGCAACTCCTCGCGGCACAAAAGACGGTGGATACAATTTGCAAGCAGTGGGTCGTTGCAAGTCCTAGTGAAGCAGGTAGCTTACACCTATTGAAATTTATTTCGCACATTGTTTATATAATACATTGTACATACACATTACATAATACGTTAACGTTGTACATATAATGATGTGTTGTTGTTTTTGTAGACAATGCAGACACGGAGCTTGAAGTTTTGATATCAGCGCTTAAAACAGCGGCCGCAGCAACGGATGAGTTAGACTCGAAATTTAGTGCAAAAGAGGCTGAAATTGAGCAAGAAGCTATCATTTTTAAACACGAATATATGCATGAAGAGTTAGAGGAGGAGGAGGACCATGGAATGACAAGCCATGAACAGGAAATTGAGCATCAAGAAGAGGACGAAGTAGAAGAAGAAGAAGAAGACGAAACCCAAGGCGAAAACGAAGAAGTTGGGAGTAGAGAAGAAGGTCAAAGGGACGAATATCAGGAAGAAGAAGAGGGTGAAGGGACTGGAGAAGTTGGCGGAGTAGTAGAAGAAGAAGACGAAGACAGTATTGACGCAATGCCTTTAGACGTTCCAGATTTCTCATTGATATCTTCCATCTTAGCCGGTATAGCAATACTACAATAATTAGATTTTTGCATTCATTATTCAAGAGCGATAATTATTTTTTGGATTTGTTAGATGGTTCAGACAGTAATGGAAGCAAATCTTCAAGAAATCCTGGTTCTGTTGTTCCTATGAGAAATCTAAACAATAGAAGACTTCCTAATAGAAGATTCTTGACGTGAGTGTAATATACATATCTAGTTAGTAATTTACGATTTTACGATATGGTCGATATTTTTTACTTTTCTAATATATGAGTTAATTTTATTTACTTATTTAATTTATAGGAACCCCTCCATAATAAAAACAGAGTACGACGGGGGTGGTGGTGATGACGATGAACATCAAGGTGTGGGCCAAGGCTCAGTATCTCATAGTTCTGGACCAATGCGAAAAATGCCCAGACTATTAGACCCTCAAGGACGAGTATACGTACCTCCAATGATTAAGACTGAGCCTATTCACAGTGGGTAAGTTATATAGTGTATATTTTACTTTATCTTAGATATTTTATTTAGTACTCTTATTTACTTGAGCAAGGGTTAAAAAATTATGTATGCAAAATTTCTGTTCGCAGACAATATGACCACCAAGATGACGAAGGTCTTGAACACGATATATACGGGACAGACATAGGAGATATCAAAGATATTCTGATGGCAGGCCAGAAACCAGGCCCAAAAATGTACCGGTGTGACTACATTGGATGTGATAAAAGCTACATTAAAAGCTCACATCTTGTTGCTCATAAAAGAACACATACAGGTTTGTAAAACATATAGTACCATATGTTAACTATCTACGGAGCAACATAAACAATTAATTATTATTTCTAAACTCATTTTGGTATATAGGAGAAAAACCTTATCCGTGTACTTGGGGGGGCTGCACGTGGAAGTTTGAGAGGAAAGATAAGCTCACTCGTCATTTACGGACACACACTGGAGAAAAACGTATGATAAATGAATTTAATTAATATACTTGCCCAGCCCAAGTATAATTTTTTACCAGCATTGTTGAATTTTAAAATGTTCATTGCTATTTTATGATTTTGTTTAGCCTTCACTTGCCAGTACTGCCCAAGCGCTTTTTATCGATCCGACCATCTAACAAAACACGTAAAGCGTCTTCACGAAATGCAACCTCAAAAAGCTCAAATGGTTTATTACGTGAATTCGATGACCTAAAAAATCTTTCTTATTATCAATGATATGTCGTGTTTAGGTTTACTTTTGTTGAGTTTGTCCTTTATTTAATGATCCAAATGTAGTCATATTTTAATACTGTGTAAACCATTTTTTTCATTATATCAGTTACATCACAACATATTTAATTGTTCGATCTCCTCAAGAGTTACAGAGATATTTACTATAAAAAGTAAAACATTAAAACTCTTTGTAATCTTAAACTTTATTATTAACACATCGCACTCCGATATCGTCGCCGTGTATGTAGAATTATATTTGTAATTCCTATAATGATTGTACAAGTTTTATTAATTGTCAAGGATGACTGCGAAGTTGTTGAATTACTAATTGTTGTTAATTTTATTGTACCGTCAGATATCACGATTGCATGACATTTAGTATCTAAAAATAATATATCATTCTTATAAAACTTTCAGGTTCTGAAAACCTTTTAGCCCCGTTTTCACTGCAATTTTTCATTTTTCGATTTTTTAACAATTACGGAAAATAATTTTCTAAACCAAATCATGGTTCGATATCAAATTCCGTGCATAATGGAATATATAAATTTGTGTATAACAAACTTGGGAGCAACTTGCTTTTCCCGAACTTGTGACACTGAAAATTAAAAAAATTAATATTTTAATTCCAAATCTATCATTTTGTGCACCCGTTATACATGCGTCAGATACTAAATGTCAAGCAATCATGGTCAGATATTTATAATACGAATATTAGATTTATAAATAACAGTTTACAGCATATTTAGATACACAATAAATACTTAACCTGTGTAGTAAGAAATAATATTTCTGGATTATTACATATATCGCGTCTCGGTCCCCCTACTAGAAGACTTATTTTCATTAGATAAATAACAAACCTTATTGAATCGATCTAAATACGATTAATCACTTTTTGTTTTAAGTTCTCGTCAAATCTAAACATACCAATTCCAAGAGTTCTTGTAGAAATAATGTACCTCCCAAAAAAGGAAATGCAGTTTTGCCAGTGAAAGATAATTTATACATGTCTGTATGCATGTATGTATGTAGTATGGGATGTAATTCAGCCACGATTTTGTACCGAAACAGTAGTGTAAAGTTGGCATTTTCATTCATGGGTCGACTTTAGCTTGTAGATACATCTACCACTTCTTCATAATTTGTTGACCAAGCTGGAGGTTGTCCTGAAGTAAACGAGTCTCTGGAGAAATCATGGGCTCAATAACCGAGTCGTACTTTCTCCATCCGGATTTGTGATCCACACAGAGAGACGTAGTAGAACTTGCACCATCGTACCACTTGCATTGCGTCATTGCAACCAACAAGCCCTGTCGTGATGCGGATATACATATGTAGTAAATGTCACTTGTAAGTAAATAGCTTTCCTTGTTATCAGAAGAAACATTTCATCTTTTCCCCATCTCAGAACACAAGGATGTCTTTTATTCGCATTTAAATACTGTGCATGCGACTGTCGAGATATGAAAATTAAGAAAAGGACACTATCTTTTTAAATAGAAATTATACTAATTGTGTAGACTTAAATTATACGAGCCACGCAGGAATAATGACGCGAAATGCGTCAATCAACAATTATGAAACTCGTCTAAAGTAGCCGTGTAGTGCATAGAGCAGAGTTAGAAAATACTATCCGGCTTATGATGGTAACAATTGCCTTAACTATCACTTTCTCCGTCTCAGTGATTCTCTTAAGTACGAGAATAATAGTATTTATTATCACGACTACTGTTATTACCTGTCATTCACATTTTCCACATATATAATTAATTAATAACGCTCAACCACAACCTACCCCTCCTCCACTGGCTTCATTCAGTACAGTCTTTGGTCAGATATTCCTTTCTAACAAAAGAAGTTTGCCGGATATGGCACTAGTTACAGAATCTGGTCATTACAGAGCACAACGTCTGTAAAGTCCAAATCCGAGGATGCAATTGCAAGAGCATGTGCTACATTATTTTGTTGATCGTTACATACACAAGAATTGACATTACCGTTCCAATAAAGCCATTCACACATCACACGCACCGTCAACCGTGAATTTCCAGTAATAATACATACGGTAAATGTGTGTTTGTACACTACAGCAAATAGTCCGCCTAGTGTTTTATTGATCAAAATTATTGCATTAATGGAACGCCAGGTAAGTACTTACTTGTACATATCTCGTGTTTTTGCTGTGCGTAGAGCGTGTGGCATTGCTTCTAGGCACGAGATCACGCATTAACATTCTCAAAACAAACCTTAACCTCGACCACAAAGTGAAACAAACTTAAAACAACGCCACATTAAGATCGAATAATAATATTGTAAGGTACAGTAAGACAGTACATTTCTAAATATCCACACTTTCTTCCTCCTCCAGCACTTCTACATATATAAACATGAACCCAGTCTTCATTTGCAATTTATATTCCCAACATAAATAAATACTTCGTCACCCTTCATGGTCTGAGTCTTTTCGCACATTGGTTGATACCTTGGCTTTCAGAGTCAAAGAGTTAGATGCATGCGGTGTGGAGAGCAATAAATTACAGAGAAAGTCTTCATTGCAAAATTCATCGTCAGACTGAGAAAAAGCAAACAAAGTCTATTACTAGTAGACATCTCTGCGGTTTTCGAGGATAATACTTGATTTATTGAAAAATTGCTAGCTTTCAGTGACCCACAGTCATCTTCATCAGGCATGTACAAAGATTTTGGAAATCACAATCATTGCTTATTTTTAAAAATATGATAATCTGTTATACATTTTGCTACTTGGTTACTGGACGTAATTTATAAAAAATTTAATAGTGTTGCGCACCATATCGGGTTGATGTTAATGCCTTTGGAAACGTTCATTTTGTTGTCCATTTTCTTTATCTAGAGGGATTCTTTAAATTTGCGAAAGAATTTCCGGTGTTCAGGAACTATGAGACGGAAGGATGTTGTGTCTAATTCGTGATTGTTTTCCAGCATGTGTAGTGCAACAGGAGAAGTTATACTGGCTCTTCTAATATCGTTTTGGTGTTCATTAATTCTTATCAAAAAGTCTCGTTCGGTCTCACCAATGTACACATCTGGACAAGAGTTGCATTTGATTTGGTACACTCCAGCTCTTGGTCTGTTCAGCTTCTGCTTAGCATTACATAAAATTGAACCCAGTTTCGGTCCGGGATAATATCCTATTTCCACGTCCATAGTTTTTCGTAAGTAGGATGCAATTTTTGACGTTACATCTCCAGCCCACGGAAGAATGATCCTTTTCTGTATGTCAACCGTTTTTTCCCGTTGATCTTGTTGACATTTTATCCGCACCCTGGTCAGACGGTTATTAATAAGAGATGAAGGATAATCATTTTTCTCTAGTATGATTTTGGTAAGTTTGATTTCATCATCAAGGTGTTCCACGTCTGAAAGTCGGATGGCTCTGGTAAGTAGTGTGTCGATGACACCAATCTTGTGAGCACGAGGGTGGAATGACCGGAAATTGAGATATTGGGATGTTAAGTTGGTTTTCTGTAAATGTAATGGCCTAAAGAAAAGTCATTTTTAGGATAAATTAAAATGTCAAGGAATGGTATTCTTTCATCAGTTTCTTCCTCCATTGTGAAATGGATGGATGGATGAAAATTGTTGATCATTTGTAATATTTAGTCTTTTCTCCTTCGTCTGATTATACACAATATGTCATCCACAAAGCGTCTCCAAAAGTAGATGTGGGGGTTGCTTCTGATAAGTGTTAATTCCAGTTTTTGAAGGAAAAACTCTGCCATCACGGGGGAAAGAGGAGACCCCATCGCTGTCCCATGGTTTTGTTTGTAATATTTCTCTTCTAATTGGAAATATGAAGCGGATGTACATAATCTTAGGAGTGATATGATATCTTACACGGACAGTTTTGTTAATTCCGCGAGTTGTGGATATGATTCCAATCTTTCTTTGATGTAATCTATAGTCTCTGGTATTGGGACCATTGTGAAGAGAGAGGTAACATCGAAAGAAACTTTGATGTCACCTGGTCTTGATTTTAATTTCTTTAGATCCTTGACGAGTTCAGTAGAGTTTTTGATTGAGAATTCATGTTTTGAGGCGACTGGAGTTAGAATATTTGCTAAATATTTGGACAATTTATATGTTGGAGAGCATCTGTAATCCACAATTGGTCTTAACGGGATGTTGCACTTGTGGATTTTGGGAGCACCATAAATTATTGGAGCTCGAGGATTCTTTTCTATTAATTGTGGTAGAATATTTTCGGGCAGGATCTCATTTTCTTTCAAGATTTGACACTTTTCTGCAACGTTTTTCGCATGAAGTGGGGTTGGGTCATGGTTTAGCATGGTGTATGGATCATTGCAGCCATTTTTTCTCTATACGTTTCTCTGTCCATGATGACCACGCAATTTGCTTTGTCCGCTTTAGTAATACATATTGTCGTGTCTTGAAGTAAGGATCTGATTGAATTATTTATCCACTTTTCCCATCTTTGTTGGATTTGTTCTTTTTTAATGTGTTTGGCCATTATTCTTGCTACTCCGGTTCTGATTTTGTTTTTGTCATTATCTGTCAGTTCCATATCCATCATTCGAAGTTCCAGGGTCGCTGCAGTGTCAATCATAGTGTTTCCAACATTTTTTATGGGAAGAGAAAAGTTCAGTCCTAGGTTGAGTAATTTTTCTTCCAATGCAGAAAGAGGCCGGGATGACAAGTTTTTAATTGTTGGTTTCTGGAGTAAATCTTTATTATTTTGATATGCTGTGGTACAGACATTTTCGGCTCTTTTCTCCATAAGTCTATTGAACTTATTTTTCTGCGTGCTGGAAATTTTCAGATGAAGGGAGTTTCTCATATTGTTCATTAAGTTGCATAGCCAGTTCCATAATGTAGGGATTGACTCTCGAATGGTTGTTCTTAATTTCTTCATTTCTGATTGAATTTTATTTTGCTTGGTGTAGTTTACATTGATAAGACAGTTTAATAAGTTTGACTCAGTTCGTTTTTGAAAACTTTGGATCTTATCATGAGGTCCGAATCTTATGGAGAAATCTTTGAGTAGTAGTCCGGTTGGGATAATGTCATATTTTTTGCAACGTCGTAGAAAAATAGTGTTGTTTGTTAAATGGACTTCTTGTTTGTAGAGTGACTCCAATTTCTTGATCTTTCCAAAGTCTATTACTTTATTTACCAAGTGTTTTTGCTTTTTGTGGATACTTTTAACGCGATGTAATGTGACGTTACATAAAATATTGATGTAGATGTAGGAATACAATTTATTTACTACTGTGCTCTCCTCAGGCATCTGCTTTCCTTCACTTTCACGCGATATCTTTCACACAAGCCGAGGAAAACGCACGCACGCACGCTTTATTTTCCTGGTGGATGGGAATAAGAATGCATGATTATGGAATTCTATAACAGAAAAAGATATTGCGAACGAAAAACGAAGCCCCGACGGGGGGTTCAACGTCAAGGAGAAGGTATGCACAAGACGGTGGAGAAATTCATCATTCACACGAGAAACTTTCTCTTTTCCCCTTGAAAGTGCATCAAACTATCCAGCGCAATGTTTTTGTGCAGGAGAATGCATATGCAGTGAGTGTAAAATAATCGTTTTAATGCACAAACAGTGCTCAAAGCTTGATAAATGCATTTCAAAAACTTGATGCCAAATTTTCTTCTCTTGCTGTTTTTAAGAATTGTACACCTCCGAAGTCGGAGGTCCTCCATCTGTATCTCAGGGCATCCTCCAAAAAAATATACTCATGAGATAATGGGCGTTGACACATTTGGCAGTTTGACCATCAGTGCAAACAT